TAGTTATTCCTTGACATTTTCATAATTCAAAAGATGAGACATGGAGACATTTTATGTACATCCCTTTAAATATTGTTGATGATTCATTCTGACAATTTCCAAAATCTCTTCTTACAAGTGTATCTTACTTATGTAATAATGAACATGACAAACATGTTCGTGAATAGTGGCAGATTTGCTGACAGTCTGATGGAAGTCGACAGCCCACCAGCCCCAGTGACTGACTGTATGTTTCACAATAACTTTGACTGAAGTTGTTATATGTGACATGTGACACTTGTTTGCTGTTAATAAATTTTACGTTTATTAATAATTTCAATGCCCATTATAAGAAATGTTAAATCTGAAATGTGTGTTTAATTATTATTCTCTGGGTCCTGTGAATATTCAGTGGGTCAAACAGACATCTGAAACTTACAGACCCCAAATGTCTTGTTACCTTGAAACACCATTCGTCAACACTGCAAACATGTCTTATTTCGAAACAGTGGTATAAATGTACAGATGAAGCGAACGTCCTACATCAAAACAGTGTAATAATACACACATAAAAAGATCTCAGTACTTTTTACCTAACTTGTTCACTTGTTTACTCTCAGTGTAAGATACCATGGCCAAGAAAAGAATTGGAAAATGTCAATGAAAATACTTCAGTACAAAAACCCAGGAAATATATTAAAAATCGTGCAACAAAAGAAAGTAGGATTAGCGCTGAAATGAAGTTATCACATTAAATATGTATCACAATAACATGAATGTTAAAACTGATTCACATTGCTGTTACCACGGCTACCAATATATTTGATCACAGGAATATTTACACAGAAGTGTGGTGCAAGACAAGCAGTGTGCTCACAACATGTAGACAAGGTTGTCAAAGACTGGAATACAAGGAGCCATCTTGTGCCTGGATTGAGAAGGCCATCTAAGCGCAGCGCCTGTTTTTTGAAGTACGGGAATCGCAACAGTTATAGAGCTAGATTTCCTTATAGAACTAATCCCTAAAACTCATCAGTGGAAGGCTAATAAAGTACAGGTGATCAAACATGCTCAAAATACTTCCACTGTTGTGATGGTCTGGGTCTCTCTCTATGACTGAAGCAGCTTTACCGGTACTACAAGACTGTGAACATTCAGAATGGGATGGGCTTAGTACAGCGCTGCTTATCTGGTGGAACAGTATACGAGATATTTCACTGTAAGTCAGTGAACCTATCTGGTGGGACAGTATACAGGATATTTCACTGTATGTCAGTGAACCTATCTGGTGGGACAGTATATGAGATATTTCACTGTTTGTCAGTGAACCTATGTGGTGGGACAGTATACGGGATATTTCACTGTATGTCAGTGAACCTATCTGGCAAGACAGTATACGAGATATTTCACTGTATGTCAGTCAACCTATCTGGTGGGACAGTATACGGGATATTTCACTGTAAGTGAACCTATCTGGTGGGACAGTATACAGGATATTTCACTGTATGTCAGTAAACCTATCTGGTGGGACAGTATACAGGATATTTCACTGTATGTCAGTGAACCTATCTGGTGGGACAGTATATGAGATATTTCACTGTTTGTCAGTGAACCTATGTGGTGGGACAGTATACGGGATATTTCACTGTATGTCAGTGAACCTATCTGGCAAGACAGTATACGAGATATTTCACTGTATGTCAGTCAACCTATCTGGTGGGACAGTATACGGGATATTTCACTGTAAGTGAACCTATCTGGTGGGACAGTATACAGGATATTTCACTGTATGTCAGTAAACCTATCTGGTGGGACAGTATATGAGATATTTCACTGTATATCAGTGAACCTATCTGGTGGGACAGTATACGGGATATTTCACTGTATGTCAGTGAACCTATCTGGTGGGACAGTATAAGAGATATTTCACTGTATGTACGGTAAGTGAACCTATCTGGTGGGACAGTATACGAGATGTTCCACTATATGTCAGTGAACCTATCTGCTGGGACAGTATACGAGATATTTCACTGTATATCAGTGAACCTATCCGGTGGGACAGTATACGAGATATTTCACTGTATGTAAGTGAACCTATCTGGTGGGACAGTATACGGGATATTTCACTGTATATCACTGAACCTATCTAGTGGGACAGTATACGAGATATTTCACTGTATGTCAGTAAACCTATCTGGTGGGACATTATATATGAGATATTCCACTGTATATCAGTGAACCTATCTGGTGGGACAGTATACAGGATATTTCACTGTATGTCAGTGAACCTATCTGGCAGGACAGTATACGAGATATTTCACTGTATGGCAGTGAACCTATCTGGCGAGACAGTATTAAAGCAAGACATACCAAACACTCTCAAACATTGACAAGCTACAACACATGGAGCACTCAGTGATAGCAGTCAAATCTGTAGCCTAAACTGCTAGTTGTAGCAACTGTAGCCTAAACTGCTAATTGTAACATCTATAGCCTAGTAGTTGTAGCATCTGTAGCCTAAACTGCTAGTTGTAGCATCTGTAGCCTAAACTGCTAATTGTAGCGTATGTAGTCTAAACTGCTAGTTGTAGCATCTGTAGCCTAGTAGTTGTAGCATCTGTAGCCTAAACTGCTAGTTGTAGCATCTGTAGCCTAAACTGCTAGTTGTAGCATCCGTAGCATAAACTGCTAGTCGTAGCATCCGTAGCATAAACTGCTAGTTGTAGCATCTGTAGCCTAAACTGCTAGTTGTAGCATCTGTAGCCTAAACTGCTAATTGTAGCGTATGTAGTCTAAACTGCTAGTTGTAGCAACTGTAGCCTAAACTGCTAATTGTAGCATCTGTAGCCTAGTAGTTGTAGCATCTGTAGCCTAAACTGCTAGTTGTAGCATCTGTAGCATAAACTGCTAGTTGTAGCATCCGTAGCATAAACTGCTAGTCGTAGCATCCGTAGCATAAACTGCTAGTTGTAGCATCTGTAGCCTAAACTGCTAGTTGTAGCATCTGTAGCCTAAACTGCTAATTGTAGCGTATGTAGTCTAAACTGCTAGTTGTAGCATCTGTAGCCTAGTAGTTGTAGCATCTGTAGCCTAAACTGCTAGTTGTAGCATCTGTAGCCTAAACTGCTAATTGTAGCATCCGTAGTCTAAACTGCTAGTTGCAGCATCTGTAGCCTAAACTGCTAGCTGTAGCATCTGTAGCCTAGTAGTTGTAGCATCTGATGTAGACGACCTCCGTTATCATGTACACAAAGCTGTATTGTATTTCTCAGTTGTGAAAGACATTTACGGGCATTCGGTTAAGTCATGCAGTGTCATGCAGTGTCATGCAGAATGACAACCGTGTCATTAGCTGGAGACTATAAACACTGACAGACTAACAGCATATGGACAACATTCTCCTACATAGACACGCTTACAAAAACCTTTGATTATGTGAACAAAATAAGACACATATGTCCCAGGTGAACTCCAAAAGTCACAACTCGTGACATCATACAGACTTCTGTGTTCATTATGTACGGGCCTACAAGGCTTCAAGCTGGTGAGCTATTCTACAACACGTGAAGAACAAACATTTATATAAAAACATTTTCCCTGGCTACGCGAACAATCCATGCCATCTGATGCAGACTCAATCAATCAATCCATACTGTCAATCAATCAATAAATCAATACTGTCAGACAATCAGTCAATCAATCAATAATGTCAGTCAAACTAGACTGCCAGACTACATTTCCAATCAGTAAGATACACCACTCAAAATAAGTCAACAACAGAATCTTTCATATGACTTAAGACAATCTGTCATGGCCAGACAATCTGTCATGGCAAGACAATCTGTCACGGCAAGACAATCTGTCATGGCAAGACAATCTGTCATGGCAAGACAAACTGACTGTAGTAATGAAAGAAATGGTTGTTTCTTCTGTTGAGTAGTATACATGATCACATGTGAGATGACATCCCTTCTACTATTGCTATACAAGCCAGGAGCAGATCAACAAAGCCTGGAATCAGGCTGCCTCTCAATACTCTCTACTGCCCTCTATGCCATGCAGCCCTACAGCAGCACTGTCCTCAAGCAAAAGACAATAACTAAATCACTGTGTTATGTATACATCGGATATTGTTTGTCTGTTGTCTGATACCACACTCGGCAATGTTCCGGCCATCCTATGTCAGCCTGTGAATATTCAGGTCTGGGTCAGACAATCTAGTGATTGATGTTATGAGCATGGTTCAACGTTATTGAGTTACGATGATGCACTATCAGTCAATCAAGGCCCTAAGTCTGACACGCAGATCAGTTTAGTTGCTTCTTCCAACCATTTACAGTTGTCCATAATGACTTTGGTGACCTTCTCGCCAAACATGTATCGATTGATCTGATTGGGTCTGGACTGCTTTTAACCACTACTGCTCCGGCCTGTTTTGCAATGTGAAACCCTCTACACTAAGCTAGGCCTCAAGCAAGGCACAAGTTCGTCTCCACACCAGATCCATACATGGATAGCAGAAATACTCAAAGGCAAAAGTAACTGTGCACATGTTCATGTTTAGTACACTGTATTCTTTTAGAGGAACAAAATAGAAATTCAAAACTTCAAGCTTAATTTTTTTTATATATTCTATATGTGCTTGCCTGGGCAGATGGTTCCTGATCGCAAGGTTGATGCTATGAATGCCTCACTGTACTAAACAATATTACTGATCTACAGTTTTTTTGTGTTAAATGTAAAATAAGCAGTCTGCAAACTTACTTTTATGTATTTGTTAATAAGAATTGACTTTAATGTGTTTTATGAGGATTTTACTGTATTCACACTCAGTTTTTTACAATTACATACTCACAAATGCAAAAAGTATTTAGTTAGTCTTAAGTGACAAAAAGCTCTCATTACAAAACAACCAAATCATTTCCTTGAACAGACAAGAGTCACTGTTAGTTTTGCCTTTGTAGACGTGGGAGTGACTAGAATGTTGGAGAGGCAGATTGTGGGGGGTGGGGACAACTCACCTCCTGCCCCAGGGAGCAGACAGAGGACGACTGAGGCTGGCCTTGTGGGGAGTGGCAGCGGAAACAGTTGAGTGTCTTGTACACGATGTTGGGGAACTGACAGTGGAAGAAGTAACCTGTTAGATCCGTCAGTGGGTCTTGGAACGCCAGGTCCGCATCAAAGTGGATCAAATGACCTGCACAGAACAGAAAATGAGTGAGTTTGTTGTTATGCCACTTCTAGCAATATTCCGGCAAATATCACTGCGGTGCGCACCCGAAATGGGCTTCACACATTATACCCATGAGGGAATCGTACCAGGGTCTTCGGCGTACAATCGAACGCTTAAACCACTTGGCTACCACACCGCCCCCAGAACAGAAAATGAAACTACAGTAAAACATGGTTATGTAGAACATTAATAAAATATACTTACAGTTATAACAAACTTTTTAAAGTAAGTAAGAAATCACGAGTATTTCATTTACAAAGCTATGCAGTGGAAGGGTCTAGGCCCTCCTCTAGCCAGATCCCAACACCTACCCTTGTAGCCGATGTGGGAGTTGGGGCCCTTGGAGATCTTGGCCAGCCACCACAGGAACACATACTCCAACTGCATCTTCATCAACCTCGTGAACTTCGTGACGCTCGGTACCAGGCTCTTGAGGGGCTTTAAGGTCAGGGCCTCTGGTTTCATCACTTTTGGCATCGGGATGGAGAACAGACCTGCATAACATAAGGGGCAGTTAGCAATATCATCGGGATGGAGAACAGACCTGCATAACATAAGGGGCAGTTAGCAATATCATCGGGATGGAGAACAGACCTGCATAACATAAGGGGCAGTTAGCAATATCATCGGGATGGAGAACAGACCTGCATAACATAAGGGCAGTTAGCAATATCATCATGATGGAGAACAGACCTGCATAACATAAGGGGCAGTTAGCAATATCATCGGGATGGAGAACAGACCTGCATAACATAAGGAGCAGTTAGCAATATCATCAGGATGGAGAACAGACCTGCATAACATAAGGGGCAGTTAGCAATATCATCGGATGGAGAACAGACCTGCATAACATAAGGGGCAGTTAGCAATATCATCGGGACGGAGAACAGACCTGCATAACATAAGGGGCAGTTAGCAATATCATCATGACGGAGAACAGACCTACATAACATAAGGAGCAGTTAGCAATATCATCGTGACAGAGAACAGACCTGCATAACATAAGGGACAGTTAGCAATATCATCGGGATGGAGAACAGACCTGCATAACATAAGGAGCAGTTAGCAATATCATCGGGATGGAGAACAGACCTGCATAACATAAGGAGCAGTTAGCAATATCATCGGGATGGAGAACAGACCTGCATAACATAAGGGGCAGTTAGCAATATCATCGGATGGAGAACAGACCTGCATAACATAAGGAGCAGTTAGCAATATCATCGGACGGAGAAGAGACCTGCATAACATAAGGGCAGTTAGCAATATCATCGGGGATGGAGAAAGAGACCTGCATAACATAAGGGGGCAGTTAGCAATATCATCGGATGGAGAAGAGACCTGCATAACATAAGGGCAGTTAGCAATATCATCGGGATGGAGAACAGACCTGCATAACATAAGGGCAGTTAGCAATACATCGGGATGGAGAACAGTTAGCAGTTAGCAATATCATCATGACGGAGAACAGACCTACATAACATAAGGGGGCAGTTAGCAATATCATCGGGATGGAGAAGAGACCTGCATAACATAAGGAGCAGTTAGCAATATCATCGGGGATGGAGAACAGACCTGCATAACATAAGGGACAGTTAGCAATATCATCGGGATGGAGAACAGACCTGCATAACATAAGGGGCAGTTAGCAATATCATCGGGATGGAGAACAGACCTGCATAACATAAGGAGCAGTTAGCAATATCACCATGACGGAGAACAGACCTGCATAACATAAGGGGCAGTTAGCAATATCATCGGGATGGAGAACAGACCTGCATAACATAAGGAGCAGTTAGCAATATCATCGGGATGGAGAACAGACCTGCATAACATAAGGGCAGTTAGCAATATCATCGGGATGGAGAAGAGACCTACATAACATAAGGGGCAGTTAGCAATATCATCGTGACAGAGAACAGACCTACATAACATAAGGGGCAGTTAGCAATATCATCATGACGGAGAACAGACCTACATAACATAAGGAGCAGTTAGCAATATCATCGTGACAGAGAAGAGACCTACATAACATAAGGGGCAGTTAGCAATATCATCGTGACGGAGAACAGACCTACATAACATAAGGAGCAGTTAGCAATATCATCGTGACGGAGAAGAGACCTACATAACATAAGGGGCAGTTAGCAATATCATCGTGACAGAGAACAGACCTGCATAACATAAGGAGCAGTTAGCAATATCATCGTGACGGAGAAGAGACCTACATAACATAAGGAGCAGTTAGCAATATCATCGTGACGGAGAAGAGACCTACATAACATAAGGGGCAGTTAGCAATATCATCAGGATAGGAGAAGAGACCTACATAACATAAGGAGCAGTTAGCAATATCATCGGGATGGAGAAGAGACCTACATAACATAAGGGGCAGTTAGCAATAGCATCGTGACAGAGAACAGACCTACATAACATAAGGAGCAGTTAGCAATATCATCGGATAGGAGAAGAGACCTACATAAAATAAGGAGCAGTTAGCAATATCATCATGACGGAGAACAGGCCTACATAACATAAGGGACAGTTAGCAATATCATCGTGATGGAGAAGAGACCTACATAATATAAGGGGCAGTTAGCAATAGTGAGTGAGTGAGTTGGGTTTTACGCTGCTTTTAGCATTATTCTAGCAATATCACAGTGGGGGACACCAGAAATGGGCTTCACACACTGTACCCATGTAGGGAATTGAACCTCGGTGTTCAGAGTGACAGGCAAATGATTTAACCACTGGGCTACCCCACTGCCCCCAGTAAACAACAGCATTGTGATGGTCATAATCCTATAGTTACTGCTGTGTAGACCAATAGACATACAGCCTACAGTCATCGACATACACATCTTGCAGCAATGCATCAGCTAAAATGCAATCTGTCATAACAGCTTCCCAGCCAGTAATCCTCCAGTTATGGAGCTGTATCAACACAACTCAAGTTCCGCTGTGTGGTGGACAAACTTCATGGCACCACTTTGTCTGAAAAGGTGGACTCACACAGGTCAGCCTGTCGAATCGATATGCCAAATCTGACCGAGTCAAATCGTGTGAGTGATTAATACAATTCAACAAACGGTACAAATCAGCCAAACCCACGCCCGTGTCATGAAAGTGTGTAGAGCATGTTCTATTTATGCAGCAAGTTGGATGTGGCGCGGCCAATGAAACTTGCATTTTTCAGTCACGTGAAGTTAATGATTACATGCTGCGCAGAAATATGGCTGCATCTATTTTCAAAGAAATCACAACTCAATTTTCACAAGACAAAATGGTGCATTTTGTGGCTCATTATTGAGTTTTTAATGAGATGGTTGTATGCTCTGTGCATTTCAGTCTCACCTTTAACAGTTCCATCTTTCTCCAGGGTGATGGCAAACAAGTCTCGAACTGGGAGTCTGTAGAGAACTTCTGCACGACGCAGCTGACCCACGCGATCTTCATATGCAGGAGGTTGGTCATGAGGGAGGCAGGAGGTGTGTGGTACAGCTGGAACAACAACAGGTACATGAGAACATCGGGCTACCACCAGACACTTAACAACAGGCACATCAGAACATCGACACCACCAGGTACATCAACAGGTACATCAGGCTACCACCAGGCACATAACAACAGGTACATCAGGACATCGGGCTACCACCAGGCACATAACAACAGGTACATCAGGACATCGGCTACCACCAGCACATAACAACAGGTACATCAGGACATCGGCTACCACCAGGCACATAACAACAGGTACATCAGGACATCGGCTACCACCAGGCACATAACAACAGGTACATCAGGACATCGGCTACCTGCCAGGCACATAACAACAGGTAACAACAGGTACATCAGGACATCGGCTACCACCAGGCACATAACAACAGGTACATCAGGACATCAGCTACCACCAGGCACATAACAACAGGTACATCAGACATCGGCTACCACCAGGCACATAACAACAGGTACATCAGGACATCGGGCTACCACCAGGCACATAACAACAGGTACATCAGGACATCGGCTACCACCAGGCACATAACAACAGGTACATCAGGACATCGGGCTACCACCAGGCACATAACAACAGGTACATCAGGACATCGGCTACCACCAGGCACACATAACAACAGGTACATCAGGACATCGGCTACCACCAGGCACATAACAACAGGTACATCAGGACATCGGCTACCACCAGGCACATAACAACAGGTACATCAGGACATCGGCTACCACCAGGCACATAACAACAGGTACATCAGGACATCGGCTACCACCAGGCACATAACAGGTACATCAGGACATCGGCTACCACCAGGCACATAACAACAGGTACATCAGGACAACAGCTACCACCAGGCACATAACAACAGGTACATCAGGACATCGGCTACCACCAGGCACATAACAACAGGTACATCAGGACATCGGCTACCACCAGGCACATAACAACAGGTACATCAGGACATCGGGCTACCACCAGGCACATAACAACAGGTACATCAGGACATCGGCTACCACCAGGCACATAACAACAGGTACATCAGGACATCGGCTACCACCAGGCACATAACAACAGGTACATCAGGACATCGGCTACCACCAGGCACATAACAACAGGTACATCAGGACATCAGGCTACCACCAGGCACATAACAACAGGTACATCAGGACATCGGCTACCACCAGGCACATAACAACAGGTACATCAGGACATCGGCTACCACCAGGCACATAACAACAGGTACATCAGGACATCGGCTACCACCAGGCACATAACAACAGGTACATCAGGACATCGGCTACCACCAGGCACATAACAACAGGTACATCAGGACATCGGCTACCACCAGGCACATAACAACAGGAACATCAGGACATCGGCTACCACCAGGCACATAACAACAGGTACATCAGGACATCGGCTACTGCCAGGCACATAACAACAGGTACATCAGGACATCAGCTACTGCCAGGCACATAACAACAGGTACATCAGGACATCGGCTACTGCCAAGCACATAACAACAGGTACATCAGGACATCGGCTACTGCCAGGCACATAACAACAGGTATATGAGGACATCGGCTACCACCAGGCACATAACAACAGGTACATCAGTACATCGGCTACCACCAGGCACATAACAACAGGTACATCAGGACCACGGCTACCACCAGGCACATAACAACAGGTACATCAGGACATCGGCTACCACCAGGCACATAACAACAGGTACATCAGGACATCGGCTACCACCAGGCACATAACAACAGGTACATCAGGACATTGGCTACCACCAGGCACCTAACAACAGGTACATCAGGACATCGGCTACCACCAGGCACATAACAACAGGTACATCAGGACATCAGCTACTGCCAGGCACATAACAACAGGTACATCAGGACATTGGCTACTGCCAGGCACATAACAACAGGTACATCAGGACATCGGCTACCACCAGGCACCTAACAACAGGTACATCAGGACATCAGCTACTGCCAGGCACATAACAACAGGTACATCAGGACCACGGCTACCACCAGGCACCTAACAACAGGTACATCAGGACATCGGCTACCACCAGGCACCTAACAACAGGTACATCAGGACATCGGCTACCACCAGGCACATAACAACAGGTACATCAGGACATCGGCTACCACCAGGCACATAACAGGTACATCAGGACATCGGCTACCACCAGGCACATAACAACAGGTACATCAGGACAACGGCTACCACCAGGCACATAACAACAGGTACATCAGGACAACGGCTACCACCAGGCACCTAACAACAGGTACATCAGGACATCGGCTACCACCAGGCACATAACAACAGGTACATCAGGACATCGGCTACGACCAGGAACAGAACAACAGGTACATCAGGACATCAGCTACCACCAGGCACATAACAGGTACATCAGGACATCAGCTACCACCAGGCACATAACAACAGGTACATCAGGACCACGGCTACCACCAGGCACATAACAACAGGTACATCAGGACAACGGCTACCACCAGGCACATAACAACAGGTACATCAGGACATCGGCTACCACCAGGCACATATCAACAGGTACATCAGGACATCGGGACGTAGGCTACTGGGCTTAGGACTGGTTAATAAAAAGCAAAAGCAACATTGTTTATCAGTTAAAACCATGTCCCAACAACTCCAACCTTGGCTCTTAGCATCACTTTCAGAAGATGTTAGTGTTACCATATACCATCATATGTTAGTGCTTTTATAACCAGAATATTACTGAGTGAGTCAGTCAGTGCATGCATATGTGGCGTGCGTGACAGCAAGAGAGAGAGGGAGAGAGAGAAAGTGAGTGAGTCTGAATGAGGTCTTGAGGTTAACACTGCCTTGAACAGTATTCAAGTCATTACACTGTGTCAGCTTAAAGTGGTGATAAAGTTTGTGGTCATGCATGTCTCAGACGTTTTCCACTTTGTGAAACACTAGAGCACTTGTCATTATTTGAAGGGTAAATTCCTTACCCCAAGTAATCTGTCGAGTTGATAGACGATGGCATACGAGCTGTGGAATTGTTCTGGGCCTCTCTCAGAAATAAACAGAGCCTTGGACACCGGCATTTGCTCACTACTAGGGATGAACTTGAGCACCGCCTTGCCACCCTTGGGCTGGTTCCCGGTGGCTGGAAGGATGCCAGACACAGACGCCACTGACCCACTCACAACGGCCCTGAACCAGTCAGTCTCTCGGAAGCCTGGAATGAAAAACACTCTTTGTTTGTTTGTTTGTTTGTTTAATGCCACACTCAGCGATATCCTGGTTATATGACGGCAGCCTATAAATAATCAAGTCAGGATCAGACAAACTAGTGGTTGATAGTATGAACAACGATGATGTCATCAGGATGAAATCAAACACGTCAGTGAGATGAACCACCTGATCTCATAGGTGGCTGACCCCTTGAGACCACCCTAGTGAGTGAGTATGGTTTTATGCCACTTCCAGCAATATTACAGCAATATCACTACAGGGGACACCAGAAATGGGCTCCACACATTTATACCCGTATGTGGAATCTAACCTGGGTCTTCGTTATGTCAAACGAACACTTTTACCACTAGGCTAACCGACTGAGGTTTTACAAAATGTTCCTTATGTCGGTACCTACCTTTTAGTCCCAGGTGTGTCATAAGCCTCCTCTCTCGACTCTTGTAAGCCTCCTCATGGCTCATAAAGCTTCGCTTAACACATGTGTCACGTGACATAGGCTGCTGCCCAGCAGGTGGCACTCTGCCATCATTCTGGTCATGTGACTGCTCCTTTTTTTGTTCATCACCATTCTTGTTGTTCTGGTTATTGCTCTGACCGTTATTGTCATTGTTGATAGTGTTGTCCTGTCGATTGTTGTTAGGCTCATCGTTGTTGACCTGTTTTGTTTTCCCCGCACCCTCCCGACGTATGAACAGCGTGGTTCCTGCAGACAGCTGGGGGTTGGAGGCGCTGGAGTTCTTCAGTATTATTGTCATCAGGTCTGAAGCAGAACGATGTCAATGGCTGTGATGTACTTGAGAGAAACAATACAACTGGGAAACATCAGTTTTACTGCTACACATTCTGATCAAGAGACCCCCAAAAGGACTGACTAACTGATTTGCGCTGTTCTCAGCAATATTCCAGCTATATGGCGGCGGTCTGTAAATGATCGTGTCAGGACCAGATATTCCAGTGATCAACATCATGAGCATCAATCTACGCAAATGGGATACGATGACATGTGTCAACCAAGTCAGCAAGTCTGACCACCCGATCCTGTTAGTCGCCTCTTACGACAAGCATGGGTTGCTGAAGACTGTTATTAGCAAACATTTCTGGACTGAAATACCCAGTATATATCACTCAAGCCTCCGAACATGAGACTAATTCCTGGAGCCACAGACTGTCGGACATATATTCGAGTCTGCTGTAAGGAGGCTTTTAATCTTCGTTTTAGTAATAGGTTATAATTTTAGTCTGCTATACAATTCATGTAATTTTCTAGTTTACCCATGTATTTACTTGTAACCTTACTTTCAGTCTCTGGCTGTGAGCTGTAGATGACGATTGATTCACATGCTGGGTTGGCATCACACATGTTCTGTGCATCCTGAATGCTCCGTGCCGTGAGGACACATCCCCACGTCACCCTTGAGTTCTCGCACCGGAAGTCGTATATTCCCTGGTAGTTGGACTGGTCATAGCGGAGGTACTCGCCAGGTGACGCTCGATCCCTCGTCTGTGTCAACAGACAGAACATGAATACAGACGTTACAGACATACACAGAGCTGGCGTAACAGGATTCCCTGGACATGGAGACATTATACCTTATGAAATACACCTCAAGCTGAATCCAAGATTCCAGAACAGAACTTTCTCTCTGTTTGCAGAACATAGTTTTCTTTACGAAACTACTTGTTTAGATATGTACTCAGAAAACATCTGTAAAATGGTGACATGAGGTTAATGCCATGAAATATATCTGTGTATCTTATCTGTAACAATAACTAAAAAAGAGACTTCTAATTATGCAAACTTACAGGTAGAAGCATCCATGGAACAAGAGCTTAATTTCTCTAAGTCTCCATCACTGAGTTCCATCTAATATCTACATGTAGCAGGTCTGAGTCTTGAGCATGAATAATAATACTAATATGTAAAGTTTTGTTTATCTCAAACCATAGCCAAAGAGAAACCATTACAAACTTCCCCCTCATCACTGTATTACCATACCTCCCTGACTATATTACCATACCTACCTGACTATATTACCATACCTCCCTGACTGTATTACCATACCTCCCTGACTGTATTACCATACCTCCCTGACTATATTACCATACCTCCCTGACTGTATTACCATACCTGCCTGCCAATATTACCATACCCCCAGTGACAGTATTACTATTGCTCTCGTCACAATATTACCATCAATAAAGTCACAATATTACCATACCTCCCTGACTGTATTACCATCCCCTTCAGTGACATTATTACCGTTGCTCTTGTCACAGTAATGTCATCACTCCATTGCTCTCACTGTATTACCATTGCTCTCATCACTGTATTACCATCAATAAAGTCACAATATTACCATCCCTCCCTGACTGTATTACCATCTCTCCAGTGACTGTATTAAAACCCCTCTCATTACCCTTTGGAATACTTGATGGAATGCATTTGCAAGATTCAAAAACAAGAGAAACAGCTATTTTTCAATTGTTAAAAAAATTTGGATTAATTATTTAACATTGTTTTCATTAACCATGGCTAGTAGCCTTGAATTAAGTAACACATTTACCATTCCTTTCTATGAAGTAATTAGAGATTAAGAATAAAGTGTCACAAGTCATTAGTCAAGCTACAGTAAGATGCACCATGTTCATACAGCTGCATTAGATGCAACAAGTCCACTCCCAACACTGACGGCGACAACTTATACACCAACACCTTACAACTGCAGCGTGACCAATGAGCGGAGGAACGAGGACTACATCCAGTCAACAAGAGGACAAAGATGCAGCAGCCCAAGGAGCACCACACTCAATAGTGACAGCACCATCTGAACTGTGGAATCATTATGCTACATGTTGTTAATACCAAAATCCACTCTCAGCATCTATTGTGGCCAGCTGATCCTCCATGATTTGTCTGCTTGCTTGTTAGTTACAAAACCACTTAGCAACAATCCAGCTATATGAGTGAGTTAGTGAGTATGGTTTTACGCCGCTTTTAGCAATATTCAAGCAATATCACGGCTGGGGACACCAGAAATGGGTTTCACACATTGTGCCCATGTGGGGATTCGAACCCGGGACTTCGGCGTGACAAGCGGACGCTTTAACCACCAGGCTACCCCACCGCCCCCAGCTATATGAGGGCAGTCTGTAAATGATGGAGTCTGGACCAGATGATCCAGTGATTGACATTATCAGTATTAATCTACTCAGATGGGATATGATCACAATGAAATCAACAAGCCTGACGATCCAATCCACTAAGCTGCCCCTTACAATAAAAACATATGGTCACAAACCTATATTCTTACACATAATCCCCATCGGTAGACCCTAAATGTCCAGATGCAGTCATCTTTCACAATAAACATGAGTTACAGGAGTTGTCTTTTACACACTGAAATAGACAACTCTGTAAATAATGACTGACTCACTGAATTTGGTTTTACGCCGCTTTAAGCAATATTCCAGCAACATCACGGCGGGGGACACCAGAAATGGGCTTCACAAATTGTACCCATGTGGGGATTCGAACCTGGGTCTTCGGCGTGACGAGCCAACGCTTTAACCACTAGGCTACCCCACCGCCCCTCTGTAAATAATGACATGTTAGGACATCAAGACAGATGACTCCATCAACAGCTACTAGGAATACATACTCTATATCACATGACTAGGAGCATTATCACATGATGGTTTGTTGTATCCAGGCTAGTGGTGTTCCGATTAATTGAAATAATCGAAGATTGGTCGCAGTGACCAAACGACCAAGCAATCGATCACATTTTCTCATAATCGATATTAAAAACGTGTTTAATTCTTAGAAAACTCACTTTACTAACTGAAAAGCCATGACTGAATATTTCTCTAAGACTCAAGGAAGTTTTTGTTCATGATATATAAGTCATCACTTTAAAGTAGCAAGTTGCATCATCTTATACATATCAGCAATAACTTGGATAGGAAAATCTGAAAAATGATGCTAACCAATTTTTTTCGATGATTGCTCGTTGGTAATGAAGCAATTATCAATTGTGAAATTTCAACCAATTCCCAACACTAATCCAGGCAGTATACAGATAAGTAACATTGATACAAACAAAGGGATAAATATTCTAATGAGGCCATCTCTCACAATTGATCTCCATATATCAATGCAAAGTGGGCTGGTTTAATGAGATATTGCCTAATGTTCTCTATAACTTTCAATAGCAATTTCTGTGTGGTTATCTCTGTGGATAAAGAGATGGCAACCAATCATTTGGCAGTATATCAAGAATGGGGCGGTTCACTCATACAATGTTTTCACATGTTGTTTCTGAAGCAATTTCATTGGATAAATATAGGTGTAAAACATGGTACTGTTTTTCATTGGTCGATGCAGTATTCCAGCACATCCTGCTTGAGGTTTTTGACATGAAACCTTCTGAGGAATCAAACCTTGATCTTAGGATGATGTGCAAACATTTTAACAATATCCAAGCAATAACATGGTGGAGAACCAGAAATGGCTTCACACGTTGTACCCATGTGGGGAATTGAACCCTGGTCTTCAGCGTGAGAATCGAACACTTTAACCACTTGGCCCTTTAAAATATGAAAATGTGTAACAGTTTGTATAGCACTTTACCCACATAGCATCAAGCATTGCAACAAAGCCACAAAAAGAACACAGCACCATGGCTTACCTTGATGAAATCCCAAACATATCTACACTGCTATTTGGTATCTAGAGGCTCCCAGCCACTTTCTATATTCTCACATGGAGACCTGTTGGAACTGAATCACCTATTGCTATATCTGGCACATGTCTACACAAGAGATAAAGATGTGTAATTACTGATTAGAGTGAGTGAGTATGGTCTTATGCGGTTTTTAGCAATATTCCAGCAATGTTGTGGTGGGGGTCACCAGAAATGGGCTTCACACATTGTACCCATGTGGGGAATCTAACCCGAGTCTTAGGCGTGACGAGCGAACGCTTTAGCCACTAGGCTACCCCACCACCCACAATTGGCACAAGATCCTTTCAAAGTGAACTCAACATTTCCCTTGCCAAATTGACTCCCTCCTACGTCTAGGCAAGTCAGTTTGGCAAATAACATTTCTCAGCAGCTAAGCATTTGTATTGCATTAGAGATAAGACTTCACAAGATTTGGATATCAGATATAACTTTCCCAGCATTGTTTCAAATAATCATACCAGACCAAGCACCATAGGACTCTGGCAGCATAAGGTTGACTAGACGCAAGCTGTGGTATCTATGGCAACAACATATGCATCTGGCAAAAATCATGTCTTGTCATTCCAAACTAATTCCCTGAATTGTGTGTTACCACATTCATGAATTCTCTTTCTAACTTAAATCTGTTTTTATTTGGTTTTACATTCCTACATGGCAGAGAAAAAACATGACCAAAAAAAAAAAATTCATCTTGCCTTCCCTAATATGAGTGAGTGAGTATGCAGGGTTCAATTTAAGAGATGTTAACCTACTTGCACCAGGTGCAACCTAAGATAAAAACATAGTTGCACCAGCCAAATTCCAGTTGCACTGCTTTTATTGCAATATGTAAAGAATGAAATATGCTATTGAATTACTTAGATGTTTTATTCAGCAGTTTACCCACTCAAAAATTGACTTGCACCTGGTGCAAGTTAGAATAATAACTAGGTTTCACTTTATAATATTGGGTTGCACCAGTGCAAGTAACAAAGCACTAAATCGAGCCCTGTTATGGTTTTAGGAATATTCCAGCAATATCAAGGGGACACAAGAAATGGGCTTCACACATGGCACCCATGTGGGGAATGGAACATGGGTCTTTGGCGTGACGAGTGGACACTTTTACCACTAGGCTACCCCACCGCCCCTCCCTAATGTGAGAACTGATTGTGTGAAAATGGTAACTTCATAATGTGCTGATTCCAAAAACATATGTCATGCTATTTTTACTCTCTAACTTTATCAAATAAAGACCAATGAGATACAGCTACACATTACTGTGAACAGAAATATCTAAATCTCTTTCCTTTATATGGTGTTACTGTGCTCTGTTGAAAGCTGACTTGAACTGATAAACATTTTTTGATTTTGAGTCAGGTTAATTCACAATTTTATTTTAAAAAATCAGAAATAACAGTGTAAAGATTCTAAATTCAATAATGTCATCTCTGTGTGACAACTTGCTGATGGCGACGAAATAACCTGTCCAGTACCTACAAGACAAGGTCAAGGACAGTAAGAATACAAGGTCAAGGTAACTATAAAAACAAGGTCATGAGTGTAACAAAGACAACAAGGTGAAGGACAGTATGGAGTGTACAAAAGGCATGAGATGCATGATAGCTATTCATTGTAAAAATAACAAAGTTACAAAGATAGAAAAGTAATATAAGCCAAGTTAATGTTTGTGAGTTTACACAGACTTATGTGTTGGCTAACAGGGCATATCATAAATTTGTTAATGAAATGCTGAAATGGTATCTTTTTTAACACTAATCCACAGACCCACTCTAGGTTCACACTCACTTTCAGTTTAAGTTCTAAAACTGACCATGATACTCTTTGTACTGACTTTTGAGTCCACAGAATGTTATTTTTTAAGAATTAGCTTGAGCACATACAGGGCAATAAAACACAACTCACTTTGTCACCATATCCTAACACAAGCTGTTTCCTCCTCTTAGTCTTAGCTCGCTTCTGTAAAGTCCATCAAGAAACGGTCACCCACCCTTTACCATGACTGCCTTAGTACATGTTTTGAGTGAGAGAGAGGTTTTAGTTTATGCCGCTTTCAGCAATATTCCAGCAATATCACGGCAGGGGACACCAGAAATGGGCTTCACACATTGCACCCATGTGGGGAATCAAACCCGGGTCTTCGGGCATGACAAGTGAGCCTTATTGGACTTATATTACATTTATTAGCACAGACTCTGCAGACAGTTAAAAGTCTTCTGGTATTCCCTACCGAGATTCAATTGGATCTCGCTAGAGTCAAGGGAACTCTCGGTAGCACTGGATCCATTAATTTTCAAGAATGTTACATCTGTCACATCAGTGATATTTTCAAAGCCTTTAGTCCACCTGTGTGTATTCTAGTGTTACATTAGATGACAATCAACCACTGACACTCTGAATGTAGAGAGTGTTTCTTACCAGAATAGAAATGTTGGATACATTTCAAAGATCCAGATATGTGCATCTCCCAAGACTCACAACATAAATCGTGTGCATTCACTCATTTCAGGGTGCATAGGGCACAATAATGTAACACTTGAGAATAACATGTAAAATTGAATGCACAGTAAAACCCACTGTTTTCTTCTGGAAATGAAATGATTACATTTTAACTGCAGACACTGCACTAGAGTCATAAAACCACCAAATTATTGTTTCATATTACAATGTATTTCCACCCCTTCTCTTTCCTAATTTTCAATGAAACGGACCACCCAAGGCTCATCCTTTTCGAAGGCAATAAGTGAAAGCCATTTATGACTGATTAATTAACCCAATACAAACGATTCTTTGTGTAAGAGGAGGAGATTACAGTCCCAACTGACCTTAGCAACGTTGTTGTCGCCATACAGGAACTGATTGTTTCTGCTGGGTCTGTTCAGGTTGGGGTCATCCTCCCGCTGGACAATACGCTCCGGCTGCTCCTGCTTGTAGCGCTCGTGGTGCTGGGCTGGAGGCTCTTGGGGCAGGCCTGCAGGGTGAGTGAGGGAGTTGATTTATCACTGTGTCACAGGTATGGTGTAACATTAGAGTTGAAACTGAGTTGGCGAGTGAGTTGGTGAGTGAGTGAGTGAGTGAGTGAGTGAGTGAGTGAGTGAGTGAGTGAGTGAGTGAGTGAGTGAGTGAGTGAGTGAGTGAGTGAGTGAGTGAGTGAGTGAGTGAGTGAGTGAGTGAGTGAGTGAGTGAGACATTACAGCACTTATCATTATTTGAATGGTAAATTCCTTACCCGAAGTAGTCTGTCGAGTGTGACTGGGTGTGTGGTTGAGTGAGTGGTTAAGTAAGAGAGTGGTTAAGTGAGTGAATGAATGAGTGAGAGAGAGTGCAAATGAGAAATGAGGTGCTGAAGTTAACACTGCCTTGTACAGTATTCCAGTTATTACACACTGTGTCAGCTTAATAATGTGGTGATAAAGCCTCTACGTTCTTTCACAGAGTTGAAAGTTGAAACTGAGTTGGTGTGGTAAAAGGTATGATGCCAATGTCAAGGAAAGTTTCCTGCAGTTCAGCTGGTACTGCTTCTGCACATTTGGTCAGATGTTTTGGGCACAGCCTGATGAAATAGTGAGTGAGTGAGTGAGTTCAGTTTTACGCCGCTTTTAACAATATTCCAGCTATATCACGGCGGGGGACAAAGAAATGGGCTTCACACATTGTACCCATGTATGGAATCGAACCCGGGTCTTCGGCGTGACAAGCGAATGCTTTAACCACTAGGCTACCCCACAGCCCCTGATGAAATAGACCACAAGGACACAGGGCTATGGTATTTACCAACTCAATGAAACCTTGAGCAAGGGTAGGATGTTGAGAAACCAGTAATTACAATCAGGGTTAAACTGGGACTAAATTCAAATATCACAGGATCTCAGCTTGCTTAAGGTTGGCAACTATGTAAATCATGGCACTGAAATCACATGGGTTTGAATCCTGGATAGGACTCAACCCCCAAAAGTACAAAAGTCTGTACTTTCAAGAGAAAGTGTAATCTCAAATATAACATATGTTACATTTGACCACTTTCTAAACGGCATTGTGTATTCATACCCCAGTGATTTGATGACCTGTGCCAGTTACAGGTGAGCTCTTTTAATGAGTGAGTATGGTTTTACGTCGCTTTTAGCAATATTCCAGCAATATCACGGCAGGGGACACCAGAAATGGGCTTCACACATTGTACCCATGTGGGGAATCGAACCCGGGTCTTCGGCGTGACGAGCGAACGCTTTAACCACTAGGCTACCCCACCGCCCCTCTTTCAATGAAGCATTCCACTATATGCATAACAACTTCTTGTTTATTGCACAGAGTGATGTTTAGATGTAGATTCTTGACTCACCAACTTCTAGAGTGCCGGTCAAACAATGAGCTGATCTTTGCACACAGACAGACATGAGATGGGGGCTTACCTGCTTGTTCCTGGATCTGAGTGAGGACAGTGGTGAGTTCATGGGCGGAGATCTGGTTGTTGATGAGTCGGTTGAGGATGTCGTCCACACGCTGGGCCTGGGAGGCAGGTGAGCTACGGAGGATGGGGTCCATCATCAGACTCCCCAGACGATACAAGTTGGAGGCCTTGTTCAGCCCCTGACATCGACCAGAATCACATTTTATACCTGCAACATGATCAGACATGTTACAGAGTAAACAGCACCAGCTATCAGTGGGGTTACATAGGAGTGTTAGTAGTAGAGATCTAAGCGATGCAGATCTCACAATGATGGACCACATTGGAGAAACAACATGGCTATCACACTGACAAAGCTGAAACAAAACAAGGGCACATCACATTTAAACACTGCATGCAACTCATATCCCCAGTGCCACCCATATCCCTCCTAGCAATCGTATCCCCCGTGCCACCCATATCCCTCCTACCAATCGTATCCCCCATGCCACCCATATCCCTTCTACCAATCGCATCCCCCGTGCCACCCATATCCCTCCTAACAATCGTATCCCCCATGCCACCCACATCCCTCCTACCAATCGTATCCCCCATGCCACCCATATCCCTCCCACCAATCGCATCTCCCCTGCCACCCATATCCCTCCTACCAATCATATGCCCTGTGCCACTCATATCCTTCCTACCAATCGTATCCCCCGTGCCACCCGTATCCCTCCTACAAATCACATCCCCCACGTCACTCATATCCCTCCTATCAATCGTATCCCCCGTGCCACCCATATCCCTCCTACCAATCGTATCCCCCGTGCCACCCATATCCCTCCTACCAATCGTATCCACCTACCAATCTTATCCCCGGTGCCACTCATATCCCTCCTACCAATCATATCCCCCGTGCCACCCATATCCCTCCTGCACCAATCAGATCCCCCGAGCCACACATATCCCCCTACTGTCAGATCCCCCATGCCACCCATATATCCCCTGCGCTACTCTATATCCCTCCTACCAATCATATCCCCTGTACCCTCATATCCTCCTACTAATCATATCCCCCTACACTCATATCCCTCCTACCAATCGTGATCCTGTGTGCCACACACCACCAATCAGATCCCCTGTCCACATATCCCTCATATCCCCCTGTCCACCACATATCCCTCCTATGTAATCCTCCCCTGTCCCTCATATCCCTATCCTTGCTAATAGTATCTCATGCCACACATATCCCTCCTACCATCAGATCCCGTACACCCATATCCCTCCTTTCAATAGTATCCCTGTACACCAATATCCCTCCTTTCATTAGTATCCCCATACACACATATCCCTCCTCCTAATCAGATCCCTGTAAGCACCCATATCCCTCCCACCAATCACCCCGTACACGATCCCTCCAACCAATCGTGTCCCCAAGTACACCCATTCCCTCCACTAATCAGATCCCCTGTACACCCACCAGATCCTCCTACTGCATTATCCCCCGTTACCCGTATCCCCTCCTACCAATCGTATCCCCGAAGTACCATTATCCTCCTATCATCGTGTCCCCTGTGTACCTTGATATATCCCCTCTGTACACTCATATCCCTCCTACCAATCATATCCCCCATATGCCCATATCCCTCCTTTCTAATTAGTATCCCTCCACACATATCCTCCTACCAATCATATCCCCCATGCCACCATATCCCTCCTTTCAATAGTATCCCCTTGCCACTCCTTATCCCTACCAATCATATCCCCATGCCACCCATATCCCTCCTTTTCAATAGTATCCCCGTGTACACCCATATCCCCCCCTGGTTACCACACATATCCCTCCTACCACCATATCCCCCTGTGGCGCACCCATATATCCCCCTGTACCACATATCCTCCTACCAATCATATCCCCTGTAAGCACACATATCCCTCCTACCAATCATATCCCCTCATGCCATCATATCCACCAATCATATCCCCTCAGGCTACCCATATCCCTCCTACTAATCGTCCCCATGCCACCCATATCCCTCCCTACCAATCAGATCCCCATGCCACCCATATCCCTCCTACCAATCATATCCCCCATGCCACCCATATCCCTCCTTCCAATAGTATCCGCCGTGCCATCGATAACACCGCTGCCATCCGTATCCCTCCTGCCAGTCATATCCCCATGCCACCCTTTCCCCCTAGTGTCAACTGTATCTCTCCTCTGGTGCCACACAACAAACCCCACATCAACCCATGCTTCACGTATTCCCCATAGCCACCGTATCTCCCATGCCACCCGTTCCCCCTAGTGCCAACTGTATCCCTCCTCTGGTGCCACACAACAAACCCAACATCAACCCATACAACTCATGCTTCACGTATTCCCCATAGCCACCGTATCTCCCATGCCACCCGTTTCCCCTAGTGCCAACTGTATCCCTCATCTGGTGCCACACAACAAACCCAACATCAACCAAAACCACTCATGCTTCACGTATTCCCCATAGCCACCGTATCTCCCATGCCACCCGTTCCCCCTAGTGCCAACTGTATCCCTCCTCTGGTGCCACACAACAAACCCCACATCAACCCATGCCACTCATGCTTCCGCGTTATTCCCCATAGCCACCGTGTCTCCTCATGCCACCCTTTCCCCTTCTAGTGCCAACTGTATCTCTCCTCTGGTTGCACAACAAACCCATCAACCCATGCTTCCACGTGATTCCCCTATAGCCACCAGATTCTCCATGCCACCCGCTTCTCTAGTGCCAACTGTATCTCTCTCTGGTGCCACACAACACCCCACATCAACCCATGCTTCACATGATTCCCTCATAGCCACCATGATCTCTATACCACCCGTTCCCCTAGTGCCAACTGTATCTCCTCCTCTGTGCCACACAACAAACCCAACATCAACCCATACAACTCATGCTTAACGTATTCCCCATAGCCACCGTATCTCCCATGCCACCCGTTCCCCCTAGTGCCAACTGTGTCTCTCCTCTGGTGCCACAATAACACCCCACATCAACCCATGCTTCACATGTGATTCCCGATAGCCACCGTGATCTCCCATGCCACCCTTTTCCCTAGTGTCAAGCTCGTATCTCTCCTCTGGTGCCACTAACAAACCCACATCAACCCATGCTTCCGCACGATTCCCCATAGCCACCGTTATCTCCTATGCCACCCGTTCCCCTAGTGCCAACTGTATCCCTCCTCTGGTGCCACACAACAAACCCCACATCAACCCATACAACTCATGCTTCACGTATTCCCCATAGCCACCACATCTCCCATGCCACCCTTTCCCCCTAGTGCCAACTGTATCTCTCCTCTGGTGCCACACAACACCCCACATCAACCCATACCACTCATGCTTCAAGTATTCCCCATAGCCACCGTATCCCCCATGCCACCCGTTCCCCTAGTGCCAACTGTATCCCTCCTCTGGTGCCACACAACACCCCACATCATCCCATACCACTCATGCTTCAAGTATTCCCCATAGCCACCGTATCCCCCATGCCACCCGTTCCCCCTAGTGCCAACTGTATCCCTCCTCTGGTGCCACACAACAAACCCCACATCAACCCATGCTTCACGTATTCCCCATAGCCACCGCATCTCCAATGGCACCTGTAGACCTCTGTTACCCCCTTCCACCCATATACCACAGGCACATCAGCCTGTCATGAATCAGGAGTGTTTTAATAACATATTTTATTTCCCATCAAGTTGCAATTGATACCCAATCATCACAACTACACATGTTTTTAAATTAATTCACATCAATTTTGAAAATGTTTCCTCTGGTTTGATGAAGACTACCAAAATAGTGATTTGCCATCATCGAGGCAGTCACTGTCAGAGCTGCAGGAGACTACCTACCCAGTGATTTGCCATCATCGAGGCAGTCACTGTCAGAGCTGCAGGAGACTACCTACCCAGTGATTTGCCATCATCGAGGCAGTCACTGTCAGAGCTGCAGGAGACTACCTACCCAGTGATTTGCCATCATCGAGGCAGTCACTATCAGAGCTGCAGGAGACTACCTACCCAGTGATTTTGCATCATCGAGGCAGTCACTGTCAGAGCTGCAGGAGACTACCTACCCAGTGATTTGCCATCATCGGGGCGGTCACTGTCAGAGCTGCAGGAGGGACTACCTACCCAGTGATTTGCCATCATCGAGGCAGTCACTGTCAGAGCTGCAGGGACTACCTACCCAGTGATTTGCCATCATCGGGGGCAGTCACTATCAGAGCTGCAGGAGACTACCTACCCGGTGATTTGCCATCATCGGGGCAGTCACTGTCAGAGCTGCAGGAGACTACCTACCCAGTGATTTGCCATCATCGAGGCAGTCACTATCAGAGCTGCAGGAGACTACCTACCCAGTGATTTGCCATCATCGAGGCAGTCACTGTCAGAGCTGCAGGAGACTACCTACCCAGTGATTTGCCATCATCGAGGCAGTCACTATCAGAGCTGCAGGAGACTACCTACCCAGTGATTTGCCATCATCGAGGCAGTCACTGTCAGAGCTGCAGGACTTCTCGTGAGGCATCATGTCGTCGAGGTCCACAAGCCGAAGTGAGTAGCCATTGTTCACAACAATGAAGTCCTCCATGCTGATTTTCCCTAGCGCCACATTGCCGATGGGGCTGGATTCTAGATACTCCAGCAGTTTGGCAAGTTGGAGCGCATACTGCCATAGAAACAAACAGCAGGTTATACTACAAAGCATCACTTATATACTGTCGTCTGTCTTAACAGCTGAAGTGGTGGCGAGTAGAAAATAACAATGTTTCACGATTTGCAGAATATGTTTTAAGATCAATAAAAGCATGATTTAAATTTCACCAGGTCAATTCAGTAGATGAAAATGTTTAACCTTGGAGTGAACCTTAAGTGCTGACTATTTCAGTGTTGTCACAACCCTAGTGTGGAGTACACAAACCTGTGCACTTAACGAACCCACGAATCCGTTGGTAAATGACCAGATGGTGGCCACATAAATATGTGCAAACACCTAGTTACAGGTACAGCAACGGGCAGTAAACTGGACAAAGTACTGTGACTATGTGTCCCAGTCCACCCAACTGTGAATGGGTACCTTATAAGGATGGCAGGGGCGGAAATAACTTTAAAACTGCTAGTGTACTCCGGTACAGTGGCACATGTAAAATCACTTGCCCTGATAATTTTTCCACCATACCAGCTGTTTTCTTGTTGATTTTTTACTTAAAGAACATAATTAACATTGGAAAGTCAACTGGACACCGGTACAGTGTGATATACAACTTTGCTTGCCTGACAGAAAAAGACAATGGACTCGGGCGTTGGGCAATGGGTTATTTCCACCCCTGGGATGGTTGCGCCAAGTGACTGCAAGAGTTGTATGATCCCCAGGGAGTTGAGATTGAAAGTATGATGTGCCGTACCTGAGATTGACGTCCAATGAACGAGGGAAAAAATACCATGCACTAGTTGCCTGGATATGTGTGCTATATAAATATCCTACAATGATAAAGGTAGCATGTTCTGAATCAGTAATGAATGTTTTTTCAGCAAGTTTCCAGCTATAACATGGCAATAGAGTCAAACCAGACAATCCAGTGACTGACAAGATGTACATCGTTATACATCTCTACTGATGAAAAATCTGAACTCTAAATAATGTCATAAAAGCCTCTCTTTTCTCTACTGTATCTGTAGACCTATGGAACTCACCATAACTTTGGTCTGCCATGGCATTGACACAAGGGAATGGTGACTCAATGGTGAGCCTAACTCTGTGACAACAATCAGCCCTTTCTTCCGAATCTCGGGGGAGATCTGGTCTCCACGAACACAGTAGCCTAGCATGTTGACGATGGTGGGGTGTCGCAGCAGAGCCAGGTAGAGGATCTCCCTCATCATCTTGTAATTCCCCATCAGACTACAGTATTCAAAATCATACACCTTCTTCATACACTTGATCTTCGTACTGACGTCAAACGACTGACTCTTCACTGTCACCTCATGCCGACTGTATTCATCAAAGCGACCACGCCTCCACATATGGATTTATCCGACCGGGCCATATTCCCGCCAATATGTAGACTATCGATCTCCTTACAAGACATATTGCTGTCCAAGCCAATATCCAAGAGCAAATCGACTTCAACTCCAATGCAACTTCATCCGGTTTCTCGTGCTGTACCCCAGTTATCAGGGTACAGTTCAGAAATAAAGCTATGAATTTTTTTCTGTAAAATGGGATTAAATTTTAAAGACCCTGACATCAAAGACTGTCTCCTGATCTCTTGTTCCTTGTGCCAGTCATTGGTGGGTTCCTGGTCACCGGCAGGAGCAGGTGCTCTGGCGTTTCCGAGCCTCTGCTTCGCTGCTTGGAATCGTAACCCTTTCCTTTTGTCCAGGGACGGGAATGAGTTGCGCCGGTGAGAATGTGAGGTTTCATGTCCACTGAGAGATCTGTATGTTAAGTACACACCACACAGGCACAGTGTCAATATCACCAGTATGAGGCCAGTCCGACACCGTATTCCAAGACAACGACGACGCATTTTTAAACGAATCTGGCGGGTGGTCCAATGAAATACACTGCTGGACACTGCAAGAAAAATAAGTACACATATTAATAATATATACAGGTGCAACATAGGACCATGACTTCAAGCTGCTAAGGGAGAAGATGTACTAAATATTTGGTACATACAAGAAAAGATAAAAAATTGGATAGAATAGTGGTTGCTTATATCATTTAAGCTCTTGGAACAATTTCTGAAATATTTTTTGACAGACCTAAGGTAATGTTTTTGTATGTACTAATGACCACTGTACTGCTGTCTATAGTTCCTGTCACAAACTCAGGTAAAGTGGAACTCAGAACTACTCCATTGATACTGATTGTAGTTAGACAAAATGGCTAGTGCTTGCTGGGGTTTTTTTTGTTTTAAATTACTGCCTCGTTCGTTTGGTTTTACATCCTGGATAGGACTCAATCCCCAAAAAGAGAGTCTGTACTTTGGTTTTAACACATTACCGTAAATGGCATTTTAGCAATATTCCAGCAACATCACGGGAGCAGACACCATAATACTGCCTCAGAAGTCATTCACAAAATCAACAGTAATCATATTCACCTTAATTGTGTTAAGTGGCTTATGATCAAAGTTGGATGTACATGATAAAAACAAGGTACAAAACATCACAGAATGAGTGAACCACTACCTAATCTGGATCCTTAATCTGGATCCCCCTCCCTAATCTGGAGCCCATGCCTAATCTGGATCCTTAATCTGGAGCCCCGCCTAATCTGGATCCCATCCAATCCCCCTCCCTCTAATCTGGAACCTAAATCTGGATCCTTAATTTGGACCCTTCCCCTACCTAATCTGGAACCCATGCCTAATCTGGATCCTTAATCTGGATCCCCGCCTAATCTGGATCCTTAATATGGATCCCGCCTAATCTGCATCCTTAATCTGGATCCCCTGTCTAATCTGGAACCTTAATCTGGATCCCCTGCCTAATCTGCATCCTTAATCTGTATCCCCTGCCTAATCTGGATCCTTAATCTGGATCCCCTGCCTAATCTGGATCCTTAATCTGGATCCCCTGCCTAATCTGGATCCTTAATCTGGATTCTCTGCCTAATCTGGATCCTTAATCTGGATCCCCCTGCCTAATCTGGATCCCCTGCCTAATCTGGATCCTTAATCTGGATCCCCCGCCTAATCTGGATCCTTAATCTGGATTCTCTGCCTAATCTGGATCCTTAATCTGGATCTCCTGCCTAATCTGGATCCCCTGCCTAATCTGGATCCTTAATCTGGATCCCCTGCCTAATCTGGATCCCTAATCTGGATCCCCTGCCTAACTGGATCCTTAATCTGGATTCTCTGCCTAATCTGGATCCTTAATCTGGATCCCCTGCCTAATCTGGATCCTTGATCTGGATCCCTCCTGCCTAAACTGACTTATCTTTGATCCCAAACACTAATCCGATTCCTTAATCTGGTTCTACATATCTAATCTGGATCCAGCTACCTAATCTGGATCTGAGTCCCTAATCTGGCTTCTCACAGAGGTACAGATAGGCTGTGTATCTGCGTAAATTACGCAAACATTTATGTGAAAACTCAATTCCTTTCAAGTCTGTTTGCATAAGCAAATCATTCTTTCCCACAGAGGTTACTCCTGTCATATCTTCCTACGTGAACCTCTGTTCTAATACGCCATATTTCCCGGTTCTCGTGAAATCCCCTAGCGCAAAAAGATCGCAACACAAATTATCTCCCTTCTTTCTATCCAATCAGAACACCTGTTACATCGACTTAGATTCAACTTGACTAACACAAGCAAATGTGGGGCCACAAATATCCCCCATCTGCCGGGACTTGTGTTGATGTTACACACAAGACGCTTAATGGCTAGCTTGTCCGTTGTCAACGAGGGCTTATGGAGACGCCACTGATCCGCCATAACATAACTGAGTTCTGTCTAGAAGAAACGCTTATGATCGCTACAGGGGGAAGAAGTTTAGTTTTCTCAAGCATACCGGAAATTACCGAGGCCTTGCGAATGATCACTTTTGAAACAACGCTGCTGATTGCACAACTAAATCTGATTGTCTCCAATCACGAAGTCTTGAACGCCACACCATGAAAGGGCCAGATTAGAACAGAGGTTACGTGAGGAAGATATGACAGGAGTAACCTCTGTGGGAAGAGAATTAACAATATTTATCAAGGAGGGTTATACACAGCATAAGAAATAGATAACTTATTTACCTCCTCTCAGTCTTTGTGACATGTAAGTGCTTCAGGTAAAAGTGCCATCGATTGGAAAATATACTGCCACAATGCATTAACTACTAAACTACTACAGATATATGGCTGTACAGAAACAGAATGCCTTTGTAGGCCAGCAATGAATCAGTTTCATGCCTAAATATTTACGAGGCTGGTACAGGAAATTAAAAATTGTATTTTCTGTCTTTCATGGTCTGTCTTAACTATTGCAGCAAATCGTGAATCAAACTGTCAAAATCATATCTGACCGTACTCACTACTTAAATTCGGAATACAACCTTCTCCCTTCAGGCCGCCGCTACAAAGTTCCAATTGTGAAAACTAAGAGAGCCGGTACATCCTTTATTCCAAGTACCATATCTCTCTTAAACAAATGTGAAGATACCTAAATCAAAGAATTTATGTAAATATGTTTTGTATCTCTCTAATGTGTCAGTAGCTCTGCTGATGTAACACAAATTCCTGAAAAGACATTAAAGTATTATTCTATTCTATTCTATTCTATTCTATTGTAATTCTAAATTAATGCAATCATGTCTGAGACAGTGAATAATTAATTGAGTACATTAATTCATACAGCTGCATCGATTCATCATCAGCATGAATAATTTACTGATACACTGATATATATACACCTTGCTGTGCAAGGGACCATTCATAACTTATGGCTGGGGGCAGGTGTGATGATGATTTCATTGGGGGGATCACCCATTTTGTTCTAGGGATGTAGGGGGGTCATCAATTTTGTACACTCATAACGAGGGAGGAGTGTCATTGATTTTGGTACATGACATGCAGGGGGTCTTTACTTTGTACATAAATTTTAGGGGTGATGGGGTAAATAGGGTGGGTCATTTACATTGTACATGCTACTCCATTACAATCATCATCACCCCTCCTAGCCATAAATTATGAACCATCCCAAAGGGGCTTGTTTTGAAAGCATGTTTACAGGATGTCCAAGGTCTGCTGGTAATTAAAATGGAGGTTTGTAGCTAATGTATTCCATTTGCTATCATTGTACAATAACAGGCTAAAACATTTCTGTTTCCCCGGACAAATCATGAAACACCTCTCTGGCTGTACCCTCCATGGCTGGTTCCTACAAGACGATACAGAGACAACCGACCTAAACATCTAGGATGTGATACTCTAGCAAGACTTACCTATATGTTTAGACATTGACTTGTGAGGGGTTGCTTATGTATACAGACCATGCATGTAACCAAAGCAAAGCCGTTACAGGCAGGTTTGTCATTTTACTATTATAGTAACAGGATCTTTGAATGTCACCATGACAGTTTCATGTCATTTAATCTCCCTGTACAGCATCAGGAAATGCATAGTAGGTTAGGAACACAATGAATTGGGCAAGCACAGTTTGATGATTGGAACAATAAATTTTTGTATCATTTTATCCATTTAGCATTTCAGTATAAATATAATCCACAGTTATCATTTGTTTGTACATTTGGTGAAACATAATAGCTGTACATATATAGCTTCTACAGAGTCTTCTCACTAGGGATGTCATGATACATAAGTTTCATGAATCGATACATATCACAATACCCAGGTCACGATTTGATATGTATCACGATACCTATTTTCGTGGCATTATTGCGTAAATTTAGTTACATTTTGAACATTAATATTTCATATTTTGTAATTGTTAATGAAAAGATCAACATTTTTTATTCTCAGAGATTAAAAAGTTCTAATTTCCCATCATTGTGCATGAAGAATAATCATTATAACTCTCATAACATAAAAAAAACATGATACAATTGCAAAATGTAAACGATACATAAACATATTTCAACCGATACTTTCAAAACTAAATATCGATACACTTTTGAATGTATCGATAATTGTATTGTCTTAGAAAAAGTATCGTGGCATCGATGTATCGTGGCATCCCTATTTCTCACCGATGTGCTTGTGGACACTCTGATTGGCACTTACATGAATAAGTGAACCTATCTGAGTCAGTTAATATTATTTGGGTCAGTTTCCAGATAAACTTTTGTTGAGATAAAAACTAAGTATATTTTCTTAACTCTTTGTAACACAGTAACATACAATACAGAGATATTCTTTGCAATATGTGATAGGTAGAATAAACAAGTTGCCCAGTTACCATGGTAATTCAAAAGAACCCACTCAAGAAGATATTAATGTCCTATATAGGGTGGGTATTGCAGAGAATTTTCATATTGCATATATTACATGCAAAAGCGATATTATGATATGTATTGCAATATATTGTAAGAAGGGTTTTTTAACAAAAAACTATGTATAATCGAAAGTTAATGCTTGATTTATAAAAGCAAAACACAATAAAATCACTATGCTTGATTAAGATTTAATAAAATGTTTAATCATGACAAAACAAAATGTAAATAATATTTGGCACAATTAAAAAAAAAGGAAAGGAACAACTTAAAAACGGAAATATCCGAAGATTTCCGGAAAGTGTTATGAAGTTTTCTCCTAATGCATGTCAAAATACCGTTTTCGATCAGCATATCGCAATAACGTGCTGTTTTCATGTCTGAACCGGTTATATTATGCGCAGCACTAGTCCTATACTATCCTATACAATACAACTTTCAACTTCATTCCTTTCTCCTTGGAATTAAAGCCATTTCAAATGTATTTCTGGCCATTTAATAGCTGCAAAATGCTAATGGGCAATGAAGCAATATTTACTCTCACTCACCTCACTCACTCACTCAGATATATTTCAGATCTATCACTGCATGTTAGGCCTAAAACAAAAGGTTGTGGTTCCACTACCCTAATCGGATTTCCTGAATTCTGGTGCCGACCCTAGTTTTTTTGAGAGGTATGAATAAAATAAGCTTTCAGATACTATTGTTTTTGCCTGGCACCAATGGACATCGGTCATTCTGATAGAGAAAGTCGACATGATGGCTGCAAGCTTGATCGAAAAAACAATTATACATTGATAAATGTGTTATTAGTTCATACTTTACTTCTAAAAAGAAAATGTGAAAAAAAAAATTCCTGCCTACCTACCCTAAATTTTAAAGTGGCGTAATCGGAACCACAAAATCTGGGTAAATGTGGAAACTTCAGGATTCTAGCACAAGCATTCTAAGGGCAAACCCTGCACAGAAAATTTCAGCAGCCTAGACCACTCCGCCACCCATGCCACCTGCACCAACTTGAAACCACAGCATGAAATATATCATGATTAGACCAGGCCATTAAATGTAATAAATGTCAAGATTGTAAGAAGAACTCTATTGGAGCATCACTGTCGGATGTCACTGTGAGACAAATACAAAAATATTTCCTTAGCAGGTTGTTAACAAGTACTGCTTATCACTTGATATCTGAGCTCAGTCTCAATATTGATAATACGACATGATCTTTCACACTGATAATAACTAATTCTAAATACAGTCAAATCCCGATGAGTCGAATGCCGGTGTCTCAAATATTATGCATAACTCGAAGTACCTGTCGGTCCCGACCATTCCCTGTTATAGTTGTCATCATTTCATTTCCGGTTACACGAATTCGTCTCATAAATACACACGATGACTCGAGAAGGAAATTTGGTCCCATGACATTCAAACAACAGCAATATTGTATACATAAGCCGAAGTCAGTCAATGAGAAGTTGATTGGTGTAGCAAACTGATCCAATTAACAAACCAGTGCGGCTCACACCTTTCCGCCATTGACAGGTGAGTTCAAAAGGCAGATTAGTGATTTTACAGAAATCACTGTCTGTGCTAATCAGACTGGAACTGATAAGGTGCCCCTATTAGTGATAGGGAAATCATGAGGTAAACAAATGCTTAGGTGGAGGAATTAGGACTGGATCATCTTTTTTTCTACCCTCATAGACATACCTATGTCTCGAATACATCGATAAGTCGAATTTATTACTTGGTCCCCGGCAATTCGACTCATCGGGATTTGACTGTATGTTCTGCTTATGAAACATTACAGAACAGTGTCTTACACTATATTACATAGCATACAACTCTTTACATAACTGAAGTAATAAACAGGTGCACACTAATTCATAAAGTTCATGCATTAATTCATGTATTTCATACATTATTTCACACATTTGCATCGATTCATCATCAACTTAAGGGAGAGAGAAGTCTTATAAAACCACAAAATCTGAATGATTTACTTCTTTCTGCTCAAAAAAGATGGTAGTACCCCATTTTATCAGGATTCAAGAAGATTGGAGTGAGTGAGTGAGTTTGATTTTACGACGCTTTTAGCAATATTCCAGCAATATCACGGCGGGGGATACCAGAAATGGGCTTCACACATTTTACCCATGTGGGGAATCGAACCCGGGCCTTCGGCGTGACGAGCCAACGCTTTACCCACTAGGCTACCCCACCACCCCCAAGAAGATTGGAAGATCCCTTGAGGTCATATGATAATACACAGTCGTTCACACTGACCCAATTGACTCTAAACTTGTCCTCCCTATAAATAATTACAGTACAAAAAACTTCTTACATTACATTACATAACATACAATGTATAATATAACACGTTCCCATTAAGCTACCTGAATGAAAACAGTTTATTTCAATTAAAGTAATTATCTGATATTCATCATAAAAGAACTAATAACAATAACAAGTCCGCAATAAAGGCACAGAGATAAATATACCACACAGTTGCTAAAATATCACATTAAGGAAGATGTAATTGATAAATTGTGTCCAAGCATACTGGCTAGCGAACAGTTATCACCAATACATCAGTATCATACATGCGCAGTTCCGGTCAATTGCAATTTCCGATATTTTTCCCCATGGTATTGTTTGGACAGCAATAAAGGGCAGCAAAAGAAAATTCTTCACGGTAAGTAACATATGAGAAAACTTAAAAGATAAAGTTATGAACCCTATAAATTTTTTTAACTTAGTCGGGGGGATGTCACATGATCTATATCATAGTAAGTTCACAAGGCATTAACTGTTTCATTCCCTATCAATCTACTCTAAAAGAAACACTCATATAGTCACACAATCAATTATTCGAGGTTACTGTATAATATAAATATATATTATTTCATGAATGGCATGTGAAATTTTAAAATGGCGATAACTGTTACAGTTAGTTGTGAGAAAAGATCTATTTGTACTGCCATGATTCCCTTCCCACGCGTTATATATAAACACAGGTGAACAGGCTGGACACTAATGAAGTATCATAATTAATTCTGTTTCACTAATTTAACGAATGGCAGAGAAAGTTTGTAAATACCGCTAATATATAGTTTAGTTTCCAAAATAAAAATTAAATTTACTTTCCCACTGTATTTAACACACAACTGTTACATGTCCACTAAACATTAATCTTTAAATACATTCGATCATTACTTCTATTGAGATTAATACATAACTAATAATGCATTATATGTAATTTGTCATGCTCTTTTTGGCTTGACAGCCCTCAAGATCAGACATAACTTTGATGAGTGTGTGGACAAGGGTCTGCAGACATTCATCAACATCATAACATTAGAAAGTAGACCTTACCTGGCCTTGGCAATTGTGCATTCTAAACAATATTATCTACTTCCTGTCCATCACTTACTTTCACATCAATGAAGCATAGTGTGGGTATATGCCACTCAGTTCACTGGCAACCACATCAACACTAATAGTGTCACTATCCTGGTAATACTGCAGAAACCATCGGCGAGAACGTTGACTACCTGTACTCGCCTTTACTGTGAGTCATATCCAACAGTATCAGACACCTAAGTATATCATTGTTCTCCCGTTCTGAGCTCGCATACTTAATGAGCTAATCGTTATTACCACGCGAGACATTAACCGTATTGGCTCAGACTTACCTACCAATCGAGGCAATTAGGACATGAAAGCAAGAACCTGTTCCGATACGCATCACAGGTCACGCAAATGTTTCAGACTATAGCGAAAGTATTTGTGCTTTTTATTCTACTGATTACTAAATGACACTATGCGCAATAGAGAAGTTTAACGGGTTGACATTACTCACCAAAGGCTGAAGTTATACACAACTTTTAGTCTGCATTCTTGCATTTATTTGTTGTCGGACAAGTGTCAGTGCAGGAGTTGTTTCCCTTTCTGTAACATCGCAATCGAGTATTAAAATAAAAATATATCATTGATTTCGCTCTCGATTGATCTGATATTTTTTACAATTAATTACATACTACATTTGGTAATAAGCCATTTGTTTTTATTTGTTTTCTGTATTTGCTGCTCTACTACAACGTTTGCTGCATTGAAAACCGGAAGTTTTGGAAGCGTGAATGAACGTGAAGACGTAAAATATGAATGCGCCACCCACATTCGAATCATTCCTCTTATTTGAGGGAGAAAAGAAGTAGGTATCTTTCAATAACGGAGAACAGAATGCGGGATACATTACCATCTGTTGGGTCATGGAGATATCATCGCCATTGTAGAGAGAACATTCCCTAATGTGAAATTTGGTGAAATTGTTAAAATGTAACCTCATATGATCGTCACAGTCGCACACTAGTCTACACTTAAAATAAGCATTCTCAAATTATATTTTTAACCACTAGCTTCGCAGAGATCTTTTAATGTGTTTTTATTCCTTCAGAATACAAATCGAGAAAGATACGAAGGTACCAAATGCTGCCCTGTTTACGGTGAACAAGGAGGATCACACCTTAGGCAACACCATTACAGTGTAAGTACACTGGTCGGGAAGGGTGGACTTGACGAGGCAGGAGTTTAGTAGTCACTACTATCTTGTACTATATGGCTTCTGCGGTCACTCACATGCCTCCAATAATGTTGTTAGGGTAAAATAAAACCCAACTCTGTCCTTACCCATTGGGTCTTCTTCCGGTGAATCACCCCTTGGCAAAGTTATGATAGTTCACCAACTCCTGTTTTACTGATTGTGTACATTATGTATAATTTCATTCGGAATTATTTGCTAAAACAGTGAGATCTCATAACCATAAACCCCAACTGACAACTACCTTTAGGTTGTAAAAGGGACGCTAACTCAAAGAACATGACATTGTATAAAGACTGAATCGCTTTATTTTTTTCCCACCTATTGACCAGTATTTTCCTGGGCTAGAATGCACTTTACCGGGCGCAGCCCTCGCTGCTCCCTTTACGATCCTTAGGGTTAGGGTTCAGGGTTAGGCACCCTTTACGATCCTTAGGGTTAGGCACCCTTTACGATCCTTAGGGTTAGGGAACCCCAGCAGCTCTAATTAATCTGAAAAAGTGCGCCGGGTAAAGTGCAGTACTCCCTTTTCCTGTAAAGAAATCTGTAAAGCAAGTAAAAAATGTGATATTGTTTCTTGGCTCTGTGCACTAAGGGTGTATTACAACAGGTTTTAAGTGCCTGTGGGGTGTCCAGTGTAGAAATTATGCAAACCCCACAACTCACTCAGTCACTGACCCAAACCGGCTCTGTAAAATGACTGACAGTCTGTGCAAAGTGGCACTAAACCCACAGTAAGTTATCAGTGTAATAGAAGTGTAGCTATGGTAACACAGACTTGGTTTTGTTGAAGTCAGCTGCTGAAGGACCCCCAGGTGTTGTTTGCTGGATACAAGGTGCCCCACCCCCCTAGAACACAAGTTTGTAGTGAGGATACAGACCACACCCGACTACAGCCCCCAGGAGGCCTTCACCAATGCCATCACAGATCTCATCAGCGAGATCTCACTGTTGGAGGAGAGATTCAAAGTACAGTGCACTTAGTTATACATTGAAACTGTATTATTCAACTTTTAACAGGGACCCTTTCAATTTCCATGGTACAAAATATTCAAAGTACAGTGTGCAAATGCAATTATACATTCAAATTCAACTTAGTATGTAACGCGAGTTCTGATTGCCAGTGATTGGTCAGTGCTATAAATTACCAACCGTATAATGAGCATATACGGTCGCAATTTGAAAACCCATTCACCAAATCCTTTAAATGTATTCCTACACAACTTGGGTAACGCTGTAGTTGAGGAATCAGCGGGTCGCTCATTTCTGATAACTAGAGAGTGATTTCATCATAATTCCGTCCATTTTATCTATAACACTATGATTTATTCATCATTATCAGATTTAGACAGTGTGCACATAATAAACGTGTTGAAGTTTGAAAAGGGAACTACATTTTCTGGCAATGGTGTAAGTTCAAGGAGTGATATGATTAACCTTTGACCTAGAGGAACTTTGACCTGGTTTAAGTAATGAATTACTTTCACGAAAAAAAAAAAGCGTAAAACAAGTTATATTAGAATGGGGATAACTGTACTGTGTTTGACGAATTGGGGACGTATACCGGTGGTTATATAGCCGCAAATTTAGTTATATCGGCGCCGCATAATATAAAACTAATTTTGCGGCTATATAACCACCGGTATACGTCCCCAATTCGTCAAACACAGTACAGTTATCCCCTAACTGAAGCTGTACTACACAAGTTTTGATAGGGATGCTTTTAATTTCCATGGTGGGCAAAAATTATTCTAACATGTTTTATAAACATCATGACAAATCTGAATATCAAAAGTTGAGAATGATATCTTGATTGTCTTCTGGCAGTGTGGATAACAAGTATAGCCAGAATTATTGAGCAACACTGTCTTGAACAGTTTAAACTTTATGTAGTTAGAGTTATTACTTTGGGTTTTACTGTGTACATGATGTATGCTAAAACAGTTTAATCAGTGGGTCCCAAAGACTAAGTCATTTATCATGATTTCTGAAAACCATTTCTATCAGTGTGAAACTAGTTTCAGTCACATGTTGATTGTTGGTGATTAAGGACGTCATGTTACACCTACTTCACAATTCTCTTGCAGGAATCGGTGAAAGAGCGACAGGAAGGAGACATATGAAGAGGAAGAACCAGAACAGAAATATGACTTTTTTAAAGTGAACATTTCTTTTGAACCTCAACTGACTTAGTTATTTGTGGTTTCCTAGTTTATTGTGGTATTGGTAACCATGGTAACAGTCATCAACATTTTACTCCAAAGATTCAGAGCAGCACTTACTGGATGGGCAAGTGAAATGTTAAAGCTTTGTGTAAATGTACATGCGAGAGTTCTGTTCAGAATGTCAGTTACATGCACTTCCCTTGTTACATTCATGATTTAGTTTTGGAAACAGAATCTGGAACCTGAACATAATTCTGAATCAGATGTGGTGGAGTAACCTAGTGGTTCAAGTGTATGGGCCAGGCTCCGATTCCCCACATGGATATAAAATCATGCATTCTTTAATATGTTGAGATCCAGTGATTAGAGATTTCATCTGAGGGTGAACCATGCAATATTCACTAACAAGTGGCTTGAGGTTATTGTGAGAACAGTCGTCATATTTCGTTTCATTGTATACATTTGTAAATAAATCATCTACATCATGATAGTGACTGATAGCCTTTTTTGTTTTCTTGATGTTTGTCCTAAACCAAGAAATCTTTTCTATATGTACTTGTGTATGGTCATTATATAATTTTGATTTGTTATATTTTAAAAACAAGATGGCCAACATGCCTACCTCGCTAACTATAAATAGGTTGGTAGGTGATCTTTTGGCATGACAATATTTTACAAGTTTGTTCTGGACTCGGTTGGTGCAGTCGTTAAAGCTCCTTAAATTTGCTGAGCAGAGATGTGCACCCAGAAACCTGTGAAGATCCCGTTTATATCCTGGTTTCCCTAATTATGTTTCTAGATGTGTCAGCAGCATACCTGTGCTTCTGTGTTTCAGTGAAGTGGTGAATATCTTGCATCCCTTGAGACTTTCCTCCAACAGTATGCTGATATGGCTTGAATTCTGTTCAAAGTGGCAATAAAACCAACTCATTCACTCCTGTATATATGCGAGGATATTCTGTAGTTCGGTGTAAAAGTGCTGTCTTCTTTGTGGAAACATAATGCTGCCTTTTCCGATGCATCCAAGTCAAATGAAATGTACACCATGAATGCTCTCTGTATCAAGTGCTGCCATATAGCTGGAATACTGTGGCGTAAAACTAAACTCACTCACTCTGTATCAAGTTACTATTAATAGTTAATCTTGTTGAAATAAGTATGATTCATCTTTCACTGGAGATCCATAGAGTTTACATCAGGTAAACCCAAGGGGTTTGACTGTTCACCCAAAATGAAGAACGACTTGTTATTGAGTCAGTTCAAAAGTAACTTTCTGAAATGGTTGGGCTTTACCACCTTAATTTTGGAAATTGAGAATGGAAATTATATATTTTGTGATAATTTTCTCTGGATGAGCGAGTTTAATAATATAATCCTATATGGTCTCTGCTATAAGGCGGTGGTCTATAAATAATCAAGTCTGGACCAGGCAACCCTGTGATTAGCAGTATGGGTATCAATCTACGCAATTGGGATACGATGACGTGTCAACGAAGTCAGCGATTGAGATGTAGGTGAAGTGAGGAGAGGTGAAATTGGGTTTCACGTCGTGCTTGAGAATATTTCGCTCATATGACGACGTGCATGCATGAGTGTACGTGTATATGCGGCTGCTTGTACTAGCCAAGACTGAAGCTGGTTTTATAGTGCTAGCCCACTGAGATACCGTGAAGCATGAATACCCCACTCAGACTCCGAGCCGACCAGTCCTTATTGTACCCATTAATGCCGAGCGCCAGGCAGGGACCAACAAGTACCATATTTTAATGTCTTTGGGTATGACCCAGTCCGGGATCGAACCCGCGACTGTCCGCTCTCCAGGCGGACGCTCTAACCACGGAGGCGGTCCTGTTGGTGAAGTGAGGTGAAATGGGGTTTAACGTTGTACTTGAATATTTTGCTCATATGACGATGTGCATGCGTGTGTATGTGTGGCTGCTTGTACAAGCCCAGGCTTGAGCTGGTTTTATTGAGATACCACTCCGACACATTATATTGTCTCTGTTGTACCCATTAATGCCATTCACCAGGCACGGACCAACAAGTACCATATTTTAATGTCTTTTGGTATGACGCAGAAGGGGATCGAACCCGCGGCCTTCCTCTCTGGGTGGACGCTCTTGCCACTTCTCCCCAGAGGCAGTCTGTGACGTAGGAGTGTTATTAGTCCATGTGATGCTACTTGGCTTCTTTCTCACTGGAACCAGGCCTTGTCTGATTTGTTGGTTAAAGCCAGCACCTCAAGTGTTCACAGGAACATATTGAAAAACCGTGTGAAGTATTAATAATGATATGCTTGTGGAACTTAACCCACCAGCATCCCCAAAACATCCTGCCTCAGATGTGCTCATGGTCTGGAGTAGACATTTTTACCTGTCGTGGGAAAGGGAGAATTTGTCAAGATGGAGCCCATGCTTGGCTGTGTGCTCTTGGTACGTGAAAGCATATTGTGAAACTGATACAATTCTAAATTAAAACTTCCCATGGGTTTTCAGCTCATTTCTTTTCATGAAATTGACTGTCCCAGTATGAACACCATCAGCAGCAATAATGTATAGTTGCCCCATATATTTCCATTGTTGCCCCATATATTTCCATTGTAGAAGTGTTCACATATGGTCAGTTTCGCTGAAAATGTCATCGGTTCCCATAAGATCGATGCTCATGCTGACAACATTAATTGAGAAACAGCTGACTGAAAATTCACTCACTCACTCACATATGAAAAGTATAAACTGTCAACATTAATTGAGAAACAGGGCTGTCAATTAGGGCTGCAACGATTCGGTTCGATTCATAAAAAATCGAATCTGACACCTTAGTTTCGATTTTCGATAACCATTATCACTATTTCGATTCGATATTTAAATACCTATCTAAAGTATTTCCACACAGCCAGAACATAATTTTGACTCCAACTTGAGCAGTTTCGAGCACTGAAATAAGGCAAAACATGATTGGTTGACGCCAAGCTAATTATCTAATGATAATTGTTGTTAGTAGACAATGCCAAGTTGATGATGGTTTTCACACTAAAAAAGACGACTCTGAGAGTTAAATGAAATCTGATGTTTTTACTTGCATAAAGAATCAAATCAAAAATGATCGAATCGAGGGTCCAATATCGAAAATCGAATCGATTCAAGGTCTGGGTGAATGGTTGCAGCCCTTCTGTCGATCAGTCATCCATACAATGTCATCCAAATAGGAGGCATGAGTCTCATGGCGCCACAATCTGCATCCCTTGAGCAAGCCCAAGACCTTTCTTCACAGAGTGAAATCATAATATATACCCCTATTATATTCCTTGTTTGTCAGCACTGTGGTAAATGTACGAGAATGGGCTCATTTTCTGCTGACTCAATTTGAAAAAAGTGGATTAATTTCTAAAGGAACATTAAACCCAATTCACTACACTACCTATACAAGGAATATTGTGTTGTCATTCAGTAACCAAACACTGAAAATTGAGCCACATTTGAGACATTTTATTAAAAATTCAATCGTCACAACAGATTCAACCATACACACAAAATGTCAGCACAACAGTGTTTTGGCGATCCCGTCTGAATATCCCAGCCAGGCTTCATTGATGCTCGTACCAGTGGTCTGTTGTCTGTCAACCTTCCAGTATCCAACAGATGTACATCTTGTGTCGAACTCCTTCATCGAGACAGTCACACAGAGCAATGGCAGTCACCAATACGCCTGAAAGGAAGCAGTACACAGTCACTAGATTGTAACCAGGAGGTTTAAATGACACACTCGTTTCAGTATACAACATGGATCACAATATACTGAAGGAAACAAATAAGGGAACACATGAAAGTACAAGTGTTCGTTTAGTCTTTCCCAGGTTTCTTCGCAAGCTTTGTATTGCACTGTGGGTGAAAATAAATAAAGGAATACTGCGATGAAGTGGTGTTCCCTTATTTGTTTCCATCAGTATATAATACATCAATAAGTCAGCTGTTGGAATGACTCGCTAACCTTGCTGAAATACAGTCAGGGTATGTAGTTTTACTTGTTAAACAACACTGAACAACAAGTACTCTGCTTGGGTATATGAGAATAAGGGAGACAACTACTACAGTTCATACACAATGCATGTACCACTAAACAGCTGACTGGGTGGCCATACTCCATCCTGATCTTCAATGAACAGCAGCCTTTTGAAAACATTGGAAATAATGTGGGAAAACACCCATTCTCATTCAATATATCTACTAGTATTTCACCATAGCAGTCACAGATTATATTCTGACAGTTCCGGTACCGAAATTGTCCTTTTTGCAGCAATTAATAGAAGAAAATCACATAATATAGCAAAATAATTATCATTTGAAAACCATATTGCTGTAAACAAGGTTACTAGTAATACCATGCAGCCCTTAAAGGCACAATGTCACTCCACTTTTCTCTAAAAGAACATAATGCATTTCTCTCAATGATTCTTACTATAAACCCTCGGGGAAGCTACCATATAAATTATTCCAAACAAAATTACGCATTTAGATTACAATATTAAATCAAAAATTTTGAAAGAATTCATGCAAAGTTGCATTAAATGGACTCTCGCGCCCTCTACCGGCTGAACAATATTTCAAGCGAACCCCATATAGTAATGTCCCTTGGAACGCTATTTACGAATACCCTTTAACGCAACTTGTGACTGAGGCCAATTCGGCAAACACCGACAACACAGCGTGCGACAGTTTTCGATGTACGGAGCAATCGTTCACATTCCATATAATGCAAGTGCTATCTGTTTGGAAGTTGTTTGCCTCGAAGTTTCAATTATCGATTTCAGGCAAGTCGTAAGGGATAATAAGGCTTTTATTGCATCAATAAGAGTGAGTGAGTGAGTTAATATTTAACTTCACATTGGCAATATTTTAGCCATATTGTGACGACACTTCAATAAGAAGCTAAAGTGAGTGCATATACCCCAATATGTAAAATATTGTCGAAAATGTGTGACATTGTGCCTTTAACAAGAGGGTAACTTTGGCTGCCTTCCAATGGTGGATGTCTGCACCTTAACTGTTACTTCACTTCAGGTTCTTTTGAATCTCCTTGGCTATGACATCACTGTCCGGGAACTTCAGTTTCCTTGGAGGGCCCTTCTTGAGGCCGGTCCACACGAGGACATCTGAAACATCACTGGACAGTCTCTAATACTGAAATCTGTAAGGGCGGGGCGATGGGGTGCATGACCAACACTAATACTTAGTTCAAAGAATGGAAGAATGTGCAGTGTCCTATCAGAAATAAGTCTGACTTTAAAGTGGCATGTTTACTACAAATCCTTCATGATGGCAACAAGGTGTCTGTAAACAATGTGCTTATATTTAAAGGCAGATTAGAACTATACTGTTAAAGCCAGGTGGAAACAAACAAACAAAATCAATAAAAAAATTAAAAAGACTAAAATTTACCAAGTCATTGCTCGGGGTTTGATTAAACTTTGTATTGTAAAATAAGAACAGTATAATCCACTTGGTACACATGATTACCCAAAATTGTTATTCAGAAATCTAAGATATTTTGAACTATGAAATGTTTTACGAAATCCATTATAACACCCACCCCCCACAAATTTTTGCTTCCCCTTCCCCTACAGGCAATTCCTACACCTAAATACCTCCCTCTTCCCACGTCTGCTTAGAACTGTGGCATGTGAGCTTGGGGGATTGCTGCTACTTTCCCTACACACGATTACCTGATCCATCCTCGGTGTTCAGAGTGATCTCAAAGCTGCCACGGCGTGGCTTCTCAGGGTTTAAGGTCAGGTTCACTTCACTGAAGTGACTGCGTAGAGCATCAGCAAGTTCCGTAGCTCTACGCTCAAACACTCGTCAGGATTTGCTGGAATTCAAGAAAAGAATTTTTATTTCACTGGACTCGGGACCTTCAATATGTTTCTGCTTCAGACAACTCCAAACAGTGATATGATGTTGGGATGTTTTGGATGCAGATTGTTAAAGGGCCACTGCCCCAGAGCAATTAATGTTTCTCGCCAACAGCCTAATTACGAAACCTAGCTACAAACTGGTCAGCCCCTGCTCCCTCGACCGTGACGGACGAGGGGACTAGGCTACTGTCCACCTTGGCAGAATTTCTTCAACCTAATCAGTGGGACATTAGGAAGGGTGGATGCCCATGAGATGCCGTTATTTGAAACTATCCCCGGTAGTTCTTGTCCGATTGTAATAAAGTATCAAAGCAGTGTGGGCTTTTTCAGATTTTCAAATGTTTGGATGGTATAGTGACTGATCCAATTTGATCCTATTTCTGTGTTTTTTACCTCAATATTTAATCATGTAAAAATATGATGTCTTAACGTATGCTATGATATCAAAAACACACATTTGATATATTTGAATCCATAAATTAAACAACCCCACTTTGCCATTGCAAAATAAATCTGAAATTTTACTTAGGTACATACAGTTTTTAACTAAGTACACAGCAAATGCTTATATATATCTTATGTAACAATGAAGTTCCGTTCGTATCCTCAAAACAGTGTCAGCCCATTTTTTTTTTTTTTCAGGCAGTCAAACTTGCATGCGATACTACTACATACAGCGATTACTACTCTCTTGCTGTAACCCTGGTTTGGTGGTAAACCTACACATATGTTATTTGTCATCATTCACTTGATGGTCAGTTAATGAGTGAGTGAGTGAGTGAGTGAGTTTGGTTTTACGCCGCTTTTAGCAATATTCCAGCAATATCATGGCGGGGGACACCAGAAATGGGCTTAACACATTGTACCCATGTGGGGGTCAGTTAATGAATTTATAACAGGTATAATTAGTGATAACACCACTCAGATTACCCGACAAAGGTTCCCATTTGGCATTTCTTGTGTCTGGAGTAAATACTCATCATTATAAATTGAGGTCTGATGTGGAAAATGTATTACATCTTATGTAATATGCGCATGGAAGTGCAGTAAGAGGAATTATCAGCTGAGTTACAAAACAAACATCAATCAAAGGATCAACCGATAACACACTGATTGATTAATTGCTTTTATCCTGCACAGCGGATTTGTCAAAAGGTAGTGTTTATGCATGAACATTCACTCATCTACAGTCGAACCCCGTTTACTCGAACCCCGTATATCCGGAAAACCCCGCCTTCCGGATGATTTTTAGGTGAAACGAAACTTGCCTTCAGTAATTGTACTCGCTTAGCCAGACCCCGCGCTTCTGGACCTGCACGGAGAAGTTTCAAACCATTCCCGTAGATTTCCATTTAAAAATGATCCAGTTATCCGGACGGAAAGATCTGGGTGCATGTGTACATGTATGTTTCACGTCAGTATTGTTTACCGGACGACTAAGTGTATTCATTGTTAATCTCTTGGCAGGCGTTTGCTGTGAATTGAGTACCCATCAAAACACTAGGGACGCGTGTTAATCTCTCGGCAGGCGTTTGCTGTGAAGTGATTACTTACCCATCAAAACCCTAGGGACGTGTGTCACTTCAGTTGTGGCAGGTGTGAGAACATCACATCAGTAACAAAACCACATGTTAATTAGGATTAGGATTAAGCTGAGCCGCGGAATTTGATGCAGCAGTTACCACGAAGTGACGGCGACAAAGTCCCAACTGCTGAACAGTACGTTGATGAAGATACTGTCGTGGAAACTGTCCATGAGCTAACTGATGAAGAAATCATCAACAGAGTGCAGCCACCGACAGACGACCAGTCAGATGATGATGAACAACAAGCAGTTGTTACGCTAACAGTCTGTTGACCTTCTACGAATGTACTGGAGACGAAGGTTCAGTGAATTTATTGATGGACTTGGTGAAGTCATTTGAAGAAATACAACCAAGGAAGCAGACACCTATCACGGACTTTTTAAGGAAATAATGTGCTACATGTGATATGTGATATCGAGTCAAGTAAGATGTGCTATGTAAAATGTATAACGTGAATCAACGTGCTGAAAGAAAGTTTATTGGTGTGATATTGAATATGGTATTGTTATGATTATATGTTTTTGACTATTGACTTATTGATATACATACATGAATAAATTTTCAATATATGGGTCATTTTCAAAATTGGTAGGATTTTCTGTCCGTTCCAAAATAAAAAAAAACTCAGTTAACTTAAAAGGATTCTTTTGTGCTAGAAAACATATTTAGATGTTTACTAGTCAGTAAATGTGGTATATCATTAGTCTTGTCATTTTGAAATTTATATTTAGCCACACTTTAGGGTCAAAATTGGCAGATTTGCTCTGTCCGGAGGTGACGGTCCTAATATCAATGTTCACAAATAATGTAAATATAAAAGCAAATAAACAAACTAATTCATATTATGCCAATTAGGATTGATCAAGCATACTCAAACTGCATTTAATTTTGTTTTAACTTAAAAAAGTTTTTTTCTACAAATTGTAACATGCTTATCCTGTGATTTTGTGTCCTGACCGTTACCAGTGTATGAAATTCCTGCAATAATTTCCCCCTGGAGCTGGATTGTAATTCAACTTCCTGTGTCTGCTTGAGCTAGCCCCTGTGCATGTGACAGCAGATGAAATAATGAAATTCAACACATTCTGCAGAAAATTGACACCATCAAATAAGTATAAATGTTATGTGTCAACCTTAATTGTCCAGACCTTTACCAATGTATTTTGTGTCAAATATATCTCCCTTAATTTTTAAATTTCAATGGATATGTTGCCCAGAACTGGAAGAGGTTCCTTTGAAATCTTTTAGGGATCATTCATTTTTTTATTTTAGACTTACTTACAAATTGTCTTGACCGTTACTGTCCAAACCGTTACCATTCTGCAAAGTAACGGTTTGGACAGTCCTTGTAACGGTCTGGACAAAATGATTTGTATTTCAAAAAGTTGTTCATTAATATTTGAAATATAACAAATTTATAATTACTTTAAGGGTTAAGATAAGATTCATCATGGAATTTTTCTGTTCAAAGGAGTTTTGATGTAGTAGCATAAAAAAACACAGTCTCTAGTAACGGTTTGGACAAATAATAGTAACGGTCTGGACATATCTTTAATAAATTTCAGTTTTAAAGAATATGTTCCATGGTGTGATAATAATTTTCTATTTACTTATCTATCTGCTTTAAATAATAAAAACCAAAACAAATTTATCATGTTAAGTTTCTATTTTCTATAAGATCTATAGTCTTTATAAATTAAAGGTAACAGTTAGGACATCTATGGTACCAGTTTGGACAAAATGTAGTAACGGTGAACAACTTGATTGTGTCCGAAACCTTTAAAGATTTTTTGGGTGTAAACTGTTTTAACTTTAACTGTGAGATATGTAAGGCTACCATTTACTTTGAATATTTGCTAGGTGCTAATATGTTGGCCAAACCTTTGTGTTTGATAAATATGTGTTACCATCTCACCATTAACAAAAACTAAAGGTATCCAAGTGAATGAAAGAAGTATATTTCGTGGAGACTAATATTGCACCGTAATATCAACAGCAAAATGATATCTATGCAGTGGCCTGTGTAGCATGACCATGTGTACAGTATCATAGTTGTTGCAGTACCTTTCAGAATTTAATCTTTTGCAACATTTTAGAGGGATAACATTTGTTTGTTACACTGATGTCCTGACCGTTACCAATAATGTCACAACCGTTACTATTCGTTCAATTTTCGTTCCCCAAATGCACTCTTCTTTAAATTATAAGTGATTTTCAACCTAGACAGGTGTGTTTTCCATTCTTTAGAAGCTGCAGTTTGTTTTATTCAAAAGCCTAAATTCATTCACAAGTTTCATATTGATATAACAAATGTCCAAACCGTTACCACAGCATGGAAGAAAACATGTCACATTTGCTACAAGTTACAATTTCTAATACACGTTTCACTGTCTGTCCAAAATAGAGTTAGCAATTGAAGTAAATGATATCATTTTTTCCTTTCATGTTACCTGTTTCTAGGTTGAATTATATTGTTTAAGGTTTATGTCCAGCCCGTTACCATTCCTGTCCAAACCGTTACCACTATTGTCCTAACCGTTACTGGTGTTAATTGACTGCTCTAAGTAATTCATGATAATACATCAAACACTCCTCTTTATGCTGGTGTCATCAAAAGATGTCTGGGCTTAGTAGCTGATGTTTATTTTAGACAATTGTACCTGTTGAAAGCTATATGCATAATAATGTTTTAGAAAAATGCAATTATTTTGTGGTAAATAAATGACAGGTACAAAATAACACTTTCAAGATTCATGATAACAGTTTTTACCTTCAAGTTTGAATAAGTCGATTACAAAAGCTGTGTATGCCATCTTTAACAGATTTTATGAATTATGTTTCAAAATCCTTATTCTGATTAAGAAGTGGTAACGGTCAGGACTTTCCCTCACCCTATAATTTACTTATGTATCAATTAAAAGGCCAATTAGTAAATTTGAGCCTGCATGTTTGTATTATTGAATAATTAAGTATTTGAGATTTCATTTGAACAAAAACTAAATAAATTTTCAGGAGTTTGATTTTACTGTAATAAAGAATTGAAAATCATACCAATTTTGAAAATGACCCATACATTGTCAATGCGTTTTGCTTGTTTGATCCAGTTAACCGGACGCCTCGCTTTCCGGACGATTTCCGAGTGTAACCAAAATGTCCGGATAAACGGGGTTCGACTGTATACTAAATACACCCTGTTGTAAAATGTCTGTGTAAAAACAATGTCCTTCCTTCAAAGGATTAACCGCCAATACATTGATTGATTGCTCACTATTGGCTAATTACATTAGTTTTTAAAGAATGGCGGACATCATACAATTGGTTGCCAGGTGTGCTATCTTGGGTGACCAATGGGACTATACACAATGTGAAAAACCTGAAACAATTGATCACTTTTTCGTATATTAGACTGTTAAAAGACATGACATGGAACAGGATACTTTATCAGCTGCAGATGAATGGCATCTCATTCCTTTATGTGGATATTGATGGATACACTCCCTGAACAAGGTAATAGCCTGATATTGTTGCTATAACTTTAGTCTGTTTTAATTTTAATATTTGCATTTTGTTGTTATTTATTTGTTATTGCATTCAACAGAATCATTTTTTTTGCCATGAAGTGTAATGAGACAGACAACATACACTAGGTCGCACTCAGGGCGTGTGTGTGAAATATGATACACGTTGACAATCTATAAAATGTCTAGATATTACAATCATGTTATAAATTCACTAAGTATAAGCAGATCGTGTGCATTTTATTAAGTTTCAAAATGCATACAAATATGATAATAAACTAATTAGGATTATGAGACAGAATATAAAGACGTACATTGACTTCGTTATTTCAGTCCTAACATTTTTTACCACTGGCAGATGGTTAAACTTAAAATGTTTTCATTTGTTATCAAAATAATGCCATTTAATACAACATTCAGATTGACTAGTAGTGAACCCAAGCTCACAACTCTCCCCAAGACTCCTCATGTACTTAGTTACTCTTACTTTCAAACAATGCTATTATATCAGTCAGTCTCACCAAATTCATGGTCAAATTATTTTTTAAATCAAATTCTACATCCATTTACGTTAACATTTTTATAAAGTCAACATTACTATGAAATCAAAATGTTACATCAAAATCAGCATTTTTATCCAAGTGAATATGGTTTTATAAGAAACCAAATTATTCCAAGTCTACATAATTTTACAACAACATCAAGATTCTCCAGTCAAAAAGATTTCATCTTTGTTGATCAGTCTATACTTATACTATCAATTGCGGATGAGGGTGGTGCAGCAGAGGTAACAAACCAGTCATGAATTCTGGGATATTATCCGGGTACTCACTGGAGAAAAACAATAACGAAAGCAACAACCAGTCCATGGAAATTGCTCTGGATCAGTGGCCCTTTAAATGATTACAGATGGGTAGACAGATTCACTGGCTGATGTGGGGGCTTGAGACATATTTTCATATTTCTAATTCTGAATGATGATAAGTTATTCACCAGATGAATTATTAAAAAAATTACTCCGAAATGTCACCTTTCTCATAATAAAGATGATGACATCGAAAAAAATTTCACCATTTAATTTTCGTTAAGTGTTTTACCGATTCCTTAAAACTGATCGAGTTACTTATTTTATTCATATGCTGATGGAAGAACCAATTGTCACTTTGCAACAAAACCATTACCCCACTCATTAAATCCAAACGCACTTTTCTGAAAAGTCTCACCCTGTCACGATCTGCTAGTCTGTCATACAGACCCTGAAACAAATTCACCCATGTACATATACCCGAGTCTAGAATGTGTGGAAAGTCTAGAATCTGGGATCCTTTTGATAATATTTTATCAAAATAATCAAGACACCGATTTTTTCCTTGTAAAATATGTCCATTTCAGCTGAGGCCATATAATAGATTATTGTATGGTCTCTGATTTCAGAGACTATACGATGTTAGTCTAGGACAGTAGAATCTAGAGCTAGACCTAGCTGTCATTCTACTTACCAGTGTTCAATAGTGAGGTTGATGACGTGATTCACATCGCTAATTTCTCTTGTAGACAGTTTCGGTTTCTTCACTTCTGTTTCTGTTGCATCGTCAGCCTCAGCTGCAACTTCGTCTTCCGATACTTTAACTTCGTTTTTCTGCGTCGTTTTACCTCGTTTTTTGTTCTTCCTCTCCATGCTGCCTTCTCTGATGTTGCCCCGTAAATCAGACGAAGTCAGACTAGTTTACTCATACCAATGCGCCGCTGATAGACGGTACATAGACGGAGCCGAGTTTATACAGGGCATGATTTTTTCCCGCCATTTCGACTTCGGTCTTTTTCGGTAAAAGTAATATGTAGTCTTTGATTTTCTAATGTTATTCCATTGACAAAGCAGCGAATGATTACAAACTGTTTCCGTGTGGGTCTATAGGTGGCCAATTTAAACACCTCCCTTATTTCAAAAGTAACCACCACAAAATTTATATTTCAAAATTTAAAAAACATTTTTAATTTTATTGTTTAGGCTTCTGAGCGGAAATGCTAAAATGGCATTTTTAATGGCTAAGGCATGTTTTGATTGGTGGGTACTATAGTGCTTGTGTAAAATAAGGTTCAAAATTTTACATTTTATGTCAACATTTTATTTCATACTTCAAAAATAGTTATGAAACCAGGAAGCGTCAGTGTTAAATTGGTTGAAAACCTGAATCAGATTTTGTATTCTGCAGATGATTTTCGTGAAAAAGCAGCAATGTAACAAGAATAACAAGATATGTTTTGAAGAAATTTAATATTAAAATATACAATATTTCCAACCCATGACAGCTACACATGGCTGTGGTCGGCGTGTGACGACGGGGAATGTAGGAAAAAAAGAAAAATGAATAAAACAAAGGGGAAAAAAGAAAGAAATGGGGGAAATTGGAGTATGTAACATATTTTTATGAAGTTTTGAGTGTAAATGGCAAAATAAACTCACCAAAATAACGAGTATAAGAAGTGGTGTTACCATGAGTATCCAGCTTGGACTGTGGTATTTGATATTAGGTATTGTACAAGGGAACCTGTTTCTTGTATCAACATGTACCAGTTAATCAAGACATTCTAGACTTTTAAGTAATTGGTGAGTAGCTGAGTAGCTAATGAGTTAACTTGGCTTCAGTTCTCATTGGCTTCTCATTTTAGAATTAAGTAAATGACTTGCCAGTGTGTGACCTAGCAGAAAATGTTCTTCATTTAAATGTGCTAAATTATCCATCATCTGTTACCAAATTTTGCTTATTATTATGTAGTATGAGATACCCACGTAATAAAGTATTAGAAAAGTATTTCTTTTTTTTTCCTTTTCCTTTTTTATTCATTTTTGCCGAATACCACGACGGGAACTAATTTCTGCTCGGTTCTCGAGTTCGTCTCCTGGACCAAAGAGAAGGAGTCCAACTCAAGACTACACAGGTTTAGACTGCTTTAGCCGTAAATTTGCAAAAAATTAGTTCTTTATGTGCTGATCTAAATGTTTAAATAAGGTAACTATATTTGAGGGAATATAATCAGCCTAGAGATTCTGCTGTCTCAATGGCTGGGCGGTGGGGTAGCCTAGTGGTTATTTAAGCTTTCGCTTGTCACGCCGAAGACCCATGTTCGATTCCCCACATGGGCACAATGTGTGAAGCCCAGTTCTGGTGTCCCCGTCGTGATATTGCTGGATTATTGCTAAAAGCGGCATAAAACCATACTCACTCACTCCTCCCTAGCTGGCTCTCTCGACAAGAGCAACCAACTCTGGTAGGGCGATGTCGCAGACGCAGATGGCCTGCCGGCACTGGCCCAGTGCACGCCTGCTACGTTGGTATTTAATTGACTACATTAGATGTATTCCATGCTCCACAGCCTGGTGCCTATTTACGGAGGGTTCCAGACATTGTCATTATGGTACCATGCCTGCTTTGAACTTGGACATTGTCTCTGTGTATTAGGATAGCCAGAGACCATATACCGATATAAAATTATGGTCTCTGTGATAGCCACAACATTCTAGACTGTTAGCAGACTAGCACCTATAGTGCCATAAATAAAGTTATCTTATATGAAAATACATATCCACAAAATGTGAAATATATGAACATAGTATACTGTATTCGGGGCTTAGTCAATCTTGACTTGCCAAATCATTCTACAGTTGAGCTGGATCTAATTTTGAATATATTTTCAGGGCTGTAGGAGGCAGACCAGGTTGATTACATGCAACTCAGTAAGGGAGTTGTTTGGGTTTTGGATGATCAAAACGTTCTAGAATTGACAAATGAACCAAGCGGCCTTTAGAATCGCTTTTTGCAATTCAGTGTACAGGCATTGTAATTTGTATTAGCCTATCTCCATGAGTCTAGAGAATATATTGAAAAAAAACACAACTCAAGTCTAGAGTGATGTGGCAAGTCTAAGAGTGATGCGGAAGTCAAGATTGGCATCAAGGCTGAAGTCAGCCTGAGTTGGTCGTGATTTGGATTTTGTCTATTTGTGTGTGTATATAATTTTTAATATGAGAACCTTACTCGATCAACGGACTAAATGTTTATCAGCACTAGCCAGGCGCGTAGCAAGCCAATTTTGTCGTGTAAGCCCGATAGGTTGCAAAGCTTTATATTTAGATTGTATGGAGGACTTACCCGACTTTCATTTTCAAAATCACGTGTAAGCCCGAGCTTTTCAAAATAATGGTAGCTACGCCCCTGCTAGCACCCTAAGCCATCTTCATACGTGTGTGAATGATAGACCGTGTCTTCCGTGTGATAAGCTTTTCCTTTTAGTTTTAACAGAGACCATATAATCTATTATATGGTCTCTGGTTTTAAATAATCAATATATTCAACTTCGTCATCATGAACTGAATCTGAAACTAAAACAAGGAAGTACACATAATACACATATAGAAATGACCACGTAGACATTTCACGTAGTTACACTGAAGGGGGAATTGCTCTTTCAACGAAATACGACATTGATTGGCACATGTGATTTCACTGCGCAGAGTTGGGCTACCCTCAAACGAATAAGAAGAATCAACTCTGCAGGTAAATATCAAATATGGCGGCCTCCATGTGTCGAGTTGTGTAATTGTTTTGAAATCGCTATTGTTCGGGAGCTAGGTGAGTTGTTTGTGTCTCACATTAAAACGAATATATTTCCGAGTAATTGAAGACATATAAGCAGAGGTTGTCACATGATTTCGCTAAGTTTCTCCTTACTTAAATCTCACAATGCCCAAATTCAAATCGTGGCAATTTGTGGTCACTGCGTGTTACGGTTGGTAACTGATTACACTGATTAAGTGTATTCAGCCATGAGCAGATGGCGATAGATCAATGTGTACCGTCTTGTGCTCTGATACAGTGGCGCTTATTTTCCAAAGCAAGTACCAGGTGTCTCTAGGGACCGTTCATAATTGATCGCTAGGGATGTGATGATGATTTTTATTGAGAAGCATGTGTGCAATGTGAACGACTCCCCCTAAAATCTATGTACAAAATAAGTGACCCCCCTGCATGTCATGTACAAAATCAAATAAATTATGAACGGTCCCTTATATTTAAATTTGGTATTCTTAGTCATGTTAATTTTTAGCAGCCTTGACGAGAAATAACTTTTTTACTGCCAGATACTGATGAATCCGTCTTTGACTGTTTATACAGTTTTATAATAGAATCAAACTTGAAGTAATGATTGTAATCGACAAACCTAACTTCAACTTTTAGATTTGTTCCAGACCTTTGAATAAGATAATACTTAACCGTGTATTATAGCTTTTACTCTGTCTAAGGAACATATTTGTCGTTTCATGACTAATCACACAAACTGCTGTAAAACATGTTTCTCATCTGTAACTATATCTTAAAAACAACCCATCTGAGGGATGTCCTTGTTATAGTGTGAGGGATTGTGATTAACATACAAAAATGTATCATATCCAAAATATTCCATTTGACAATGCTGTGCTCTTAGAAAACAATGTTACCTTGGTTGTTGCTATAGACAGCCATGCTGGAGAAGTTCCTGACAAGCCAGGTGTCGGAGTACCTGTGTATCCCCGTGTGGACGGTGCTGCTGGCCACTGCCTGTCTTGTGTGGCTGCTGTACAGTGGAAGTAGAGGAATCAATGTCAAGGTGAGATCAGTCAGTGCTCCCATGACCAGAATGAGGTTTGGGAGTGAAAGATGCAACTAACAGTGGGCTGATTGGTCGCACCATTAATTCATCCAGTGCTGTGTTATGATTTTGATACATTTTCCATGTTTCATGTCTGCTGGTGGTTACCTCATGCCAAACCCATCTTGGGGCTGTGCGGTGGGGTAGCCAAGCATAGGTGGATCCAGAGTGGGGGTGCAGGGGTGCGCACCCCCCCTTTTGTGCTGAAAGTTTTTTAATTGACCATTGAAACTTGGGTGAAAATGAAGTGTGCATCCCTCCTTTTCTCAATAGTGTGCAACCCCCTTTCTCATAAAGCTGTATCCGCCCCAGCCAAGTGGTCAAAGTGTTCACTTGTCACGTTGAAGACCTGGGTTCGATTCCCCACATGGGTACATTATGTGATGCCCATTTCTGGTGTCCCCGCCATGATATTGCTGGAATATTGCTGAAAGGGGCGTAAAACCCAACTCAGTCAGTCAGTAGTTAAAGTGAGTATAACAAGATTAATCACTAAATGTAATGCATGTATATTATACGAACATGTGTTGAAGAAAAGTGCTATTTGGTATTATTTTTAGTCTTTATATTATGGTAGCTAAGACTGTTTCTAATGTTTCCATGTACAGAAAGCAGTGCGTGACTATGCCACAACTGATGTTGCTAAAGATGAAGCTGAAAAACCTGCTGAGAAGACCAAATCAAGAAAAAAGCTGAGGGAGAAACGAAAATTGAAGATTTTCTATGGAACACAAACAGGCAACGCAAAGGTTATAATAGTTCAAGTGTCATAAAACAACATTCAGCCTATGTCAGGAACCATGGGTCATTATAGCAGTTGCCGCCATTATTTAGACAACAATTATACCAGAGATTCCATTTTGAAATTTTGTTTGATCTTAGGTACTGGTCGTTTACTTGGAAGGGGCAGTGGCAGGCCTAGTCGTATTGAATATCAGCATATACAACTTCAATTATTAATTGACTATCAAATCTTTCATGATCATCATTGATAACAATGTTTATAGTTTTGATAATTACCAGTTTTATTTTGCTCGTCTGTATTGTACTAATGCATTTATTCTGATTGTTCTTCAGAAATTTGCTGAGCTCTTGGCTGCAGATATAGGAGACAAAGGTTATCAAACATCAACTGTTGATCTCAAGACCTATGACCCGGAAGATGACCTCTCTGAAGAGGTAATGTGTGCCAAATCATGCTATCCCATTTCAAATGTACCCTTTTAAGATACACTTTACAATTGGTCTTCACCAACCCATGCTTATCGTCAGGTTCGCTGACTTGGATGACATGTCATCGCATCCCAAATGTGTAGATCGATACTCATGGTGTTGATCACTGGATTGTCTGGTCCAGACTCGATTATTTACAGACCGCCGCCATATAGCTGGAATATTGTTATCGTCAGGTTCGCTGACTTGGATAACATGTCATCATATCCCAAATGTGTAGATCGATACTCATGGTGTTGATCACTGGATTGTCTGGTCCAGACTCGATTATTTACAGACCGCCGCCATATAGCTGGAATATTGTTATCGTCAGGTTCGCTGACTTGGATGACATGTCATCGCATCCCAAATGTGTAGATCGATACTCATGGTGTTGATCACTGGATTGTCTGGTCCAGACTCGATTATTTACAGACCGCCGCCATATAGCTGGAATATTGTTATCGTCAGGTTCGCTGACTTGGATAACATGTCATCATATCCCAAATGTGTAGATCGATACTCATGGTGTTGATCACTGGATTGTCTGGTCCAGACTCGATTATTTACAGACCGCCGCCATATAGCTGGAATATTGTTGAGTGCGGCGTTAAACAACCAACCAACCATTTCAAAGGTTTTCGCTTTATCTCCCATCCACATTCATTTCATCGGTTGTGTATATTCATTTGACTCAGTAACCCAGGGATACAAGTGACCAGTATGTGGAAGAGTGACATGTTATGAAATGAGCCGGTATGTTACTCTGTCTGTGTTAGTCATGTAAACCTTATACTGTGCTTGAATTTTATGCAGTCTGCTATTTAATTAAAATTAAAAATTCCAAAACAAAGACAATTCCATTCAAGGTTATGTCAGGTAAACTTCCTCTTCAGGGCTTGACATTCACCCAAATTCCTGAACAATACCACAGGACCAGTAACTTTTAAAAATCAGTGGTCCTTACAGCTTCTTACTGGTCCTGCTAATGGACTCTTATTGACAGCCTTAAATATCTACTAGATCGTCGGGATAGAACTTATCATAGTTGCACTGGTCCTGTCAACATTTTGCTAGACCCGGGCCAGTGGGATAAAGTGAATGTGGAGCCCTGCCCTTCTGCCAGATAGCACAAAAAAACAAACAGTATGACACACATGTTGATTTAATCATCTCAATTTATTCCATACCAGCGTGATTATGATTTTTTTGCTGCAGTGTGACATTTTATTTATTGTGTTTCAGACCGACCATTTGTGTGTGTTTATTATCTCCACCTACACTGATGGAAAGCCACCAGGGGGCGCTGAGTGGTTCTACAAATGGCTACAGGAAACCGCCTCTGACTTCCGTGTCCAGAAAACTCTGCTCAAGGGCCTGCACTATGCTGTGTTCGGCCTGGGAAACTCGGTGTACACAGAAAACTTTAATACGGTAAAATGTGAATTATTGCTCAACAGAATTTCTCGTAATTTTCTTTTGTGTCTAATTGAAGGAATGTTCTTCTGATGCTTGACTGGCAGTAGGTCACGGGGGTGGAAATAACTTTCAAATTGCTAGTGTACTCCGGTACAGTGGCACATGTAAAATCACTTGCCCTGATAATTTTTCCACTATACCGGCTGTTTTCTTGTTGATTTTTTAAATAAACAACATTATTAACATTGGACACCGGTACAATATGATATACAAATTTGCTTGCCCGACAGAAAAAAACACTGGAGTCGGACGTCGGGCAATGGGTTATTTCCACCCCTGGGTCAGTGTTGAACATGAAGTACTTGTCAGTTGTGATTTTTTAAAATAAACTTTGGATCTGTCTTTCAAGGATGCCATGCTTAAAGCTCAATAAATATTTTGGAAGTCATGTTTCTTTAAGCATGTTGTAGACCCATTGCCTATTGAACCCACAGACTGTTGGAACAGTTGAATATCATACCCATGCAGACCATCAGATCATATGATGATTGCACCCAAATAGACCATTACACACAAATAGACCATAACACCCATATAGACCATTACACCTAAATAGACCATTTCACCCTAACAGACCATAACACCCAAACAGACCATAACACCCAACAGACCATAACACCCATATAGACCATAACACCCATATAGACCATAACTCCCAAACAGACCATAACACCCACACAGATCATACACCCATATGGACCATAACCCCCGTATAGACCATAACTCCCAAACAGACCATAACACCCACACAGATCATACACCCATATAGACCATAACACCCTATAGACCATAACTCCCAAACAGACCATAACACCCACTCAGATCATACACCCATATAGACCATAACACCCTATAGACCATAACACCCATATAGACCATAACTCTTGTATAGACCATAACTCCCAAACAGACCATATCATAAATAGACCATAAGACCCAAACAGACCATATCATAAATAGACCATAACACCAAACAGATTATATCATAAATAGACCATAACACCCAAACAGATCATAACACCCAAACAGACCATAACACCCAAACAGACAATTTCAACCAAATAGACCATTTCAATCAAATCCCATTGTCTCTTTTGGATCGGTGGGGTAGTGTAATGGTTAAAGAATCCGCTCGTCATGCTGAAGACCCTGGTGCGATTCCCCACATGGGTACAATATGTGAAATGCATTTTTGGTGTCCCCCGCCGTGATATTGCTGGAATATTGCTAAAAGCGGCGTAAAACCATACTCACTCACTCTCATTGTGTTTTAGATCAATACAGATGCTTGACCTTCACAGGACTTCACGTCATGACTTATTTCTGTTACAGGTGGCCAAGAATGTAGACTCATGGTTGAGGGATCTTTCTGCACTCAGAATTGAATCTGTTGGACTAGGAGATGAAAATGTGGCAAACAGTGAAAATGCAGGTAATTAGAGACATGTAGACTCTTTGTCAGTGTGTTACAGTGTCGGTTGTACCTGCTGATTACCCAAGGGTGACTACAGATTGCAAGATGTCTGTTTTACTCAATGGCCAGTTTTTATTCTCCTTGAATTGTCTCATTTGAAGTCATTTCCCAAATGAATGTATAGTTCATATGAAATAAAAACAAGTTGAAGTAGTTTCTGTCTCTTTTAATGAATGACAAGAAACTTGAAACCCAGATCAAGTAAATGGTTAAACATAAACTCAATGAAGCTGCAAGTCTGCACCCAAACATCCTGTATATTGCTCTGCGCATTTATCAACGGAAGTCAATTACTAAACTATTGATAGTCACACATACTATCGATGCATCAATAGTTTTTCCTTTCTGCCATTGAATAATTGCTATCAGAGACTCAACAATTGCAATCCATCGATAGTTGGATGCATCATTACAGCCCTAGTACCATGATTGTAGGTTTGATTCCCAGTTGACATGGGGACGGAGGGGTCGTCTCGTCGAAGACCCGGGTTTGATTCCCCACATGGGTACAATGTGTGAACCCGATTTCTGGTGTCCCCCGCCATGATATTGCTGGAATAATGCTAAGGGACCGTTCATCATGGCTAGGGGGTGATTTATATGGAGAAGCATGTACAATGTGAATGATCCCCCCCTAAAATTTATGTACAAACTAAGTGACCCCCACCCCTGCATGTCATGTACAAAATCAATGACAGACACACACACACACACCCCACCCCACCCTTTCCATAAATTGTAAGCATTTATTGTCCCCGGCCGCAACGAGGAACGGGGGACTATGTATTCAGCGGTGTCCGTACGTACGTACGTCCCGATTCTTGTTAACGCGATATCTCATGAACTGTTGTACCCAATGTCTTCAAATTTGGTGACAGCCTACATTGGGGGATTACGCAGACACCATTCGATTTGGGTGACCTTGACCTTATTTTCAAGGTCACCACGACACTTTGCACACTTCAACTCTTGTTAACGTGATATCTCATGGACTGTTATATTCAGTGTCTTCAAATTTGGTGACAGCCTACACTGGGGGATTACACAGACACCAGTTGATTGGGGTGACCTTGACCTTAGTTTCAAGGTCACCACGACACTTTGACCACTTTTCAAACTCTTGTTAACGCGATATCTCATGGACTGTTGTATTCAGTGTCTTCAAATTTGGTGACAGCCTACATTGGGGGATTACGCAGACACCAGTTGATTTGGGTGATCATGACCTTATCTTCAAGGTCACCACGACACTTTGCACACTTTTAACTCTTTGTTAACGAGATATCTCATGGACTGTTGTACCCAATGTCTTCAAATTTGGTGACAGTCTACATTGGGGGATTACGCAGACACCAGTCAATTGGGGTGACCTTGACCTTACCTTCAAGGTCACCACGACACTTTTACCGCTTTTCCAACTTATTTAAACGCGATATCTCATGGACTGTTGTACCCAGTGTCTTCAAATTTGGTGACAGCCTACATTGGGGGATTACGCAGACACCAGTTGATTTGGGTGATCATGACCTTATCTTCAAGGTCACCACGACACTTTTACCGCTTTTCCAACTTATTTAAACGCGATATCTCATGGACTGTTGTACCCAGTGTCTTCAAATTTGGTGACAGCCTACATTGGGGGATTACGCAGACACCAGTTGATTTGGGTGATCATGACCTTATCTTCAAGGTCACCACGACACTTTGCACACTTTTAACTCTTTGTTAACGAGATATCTCATGGACTGTTGTACCCAGTGTCTTCAAATTTGGTGACAGCCTACATTTGGGGATTACGCAGACATCAGTTTATTATGGTGACCTTGACCTTATCTTCAAGGTCACCACGACACTTTGCACACTTTTAACTCTTTGTTAACGAGATATCTCATGGACTGTTGTACCCAATGTCTTCAAATTTGGTGACAGTCTACATTTGGGGATTACGCAGACACCAGTCAATTGGGGTGACCTTGACCTTACCTTCAAGGTCACCACGACACTTTTACCGCTTTTCCAACTTATTTTAACGCGATATCTCATAAAACATTGCACCCAATGTTTTCAATTATGTTGACAGCCTACATTGGGTGATTATGCAGACACCAGTCATTTCAGGCATCTTGTATTTGACCAAAAAATAAAAAGTAGTAAATATAGATATTCCATTCTTTAGCGGCGGGGGACATTGCCATATCAGTGGCAAACACTTGTTTGTAATATAAATATGTACAAAAGAGCTCACGCCACCAGTGACCAGCTGACCAGATTCCAGTAGTCTGTCTCACAGTCCCTGAACCACATTAGTTTCCTGTCTCCCCAGCCGTATTTGCAATGCTAAAGCAGTGAATGAAGCAAGTCTAGATTTCCTCAGGTTCTGAATCTCCCAACTCACTGGGCCTCCTTTTCAATTTGAATTTAATTATTTCTTTCTGTCAAAATTATATATATTCAGAGACAAAGCATTAGTCTATTCCAGGACAGGAGGTCACTATAGTCTGTTTGCAGTGAAAACGTACTGATGAATTTCACTTTAAACCAAAATAGAAATTGAATAAAGTGAAATTAAGATTGCAAATCCTCATAATTTTACCTTGCCAATTGAAAATTTAAATCTCAGAAGTTTATTCAACTTAAGATAAAAGTTGTTTAACAAACAATCATGGTTTCATATCGCTATTATTGGTTTGTATTACAGGGGGTATGCACATTAAATGAAACACCGAGACCAGGTAGGGCTGGTCTAAGTTAACGCTCATCACGTCCCGCCTGTGCATTTGTTTCACTGTTCCAACTACTGCGCTCACCCCTTGTAATACAAACCAATAATAGCGATTTGGATCTATGATCGTTTGTTAAACAACTTTTATCCTAAGTTGAATAAAATTCTGTGATTTAATTGTGTAATTGGCAAGGTAAAATTATGAGGATTCGCAATCTTAATTTCACGTTATTTAATTTACTTTTTTGTTTAAAGTGAAATTCATCGGTACGTTTTCACTGCAAACAGACTGTAGTATCCTGTGATTGGTCATATGCGGATCCAGAAGTGGGGGTTAGTAGGGAAGCTCCCCCCTTATAATATATAACTCTGTCAATATTTGGGTTCTCTCTAGATATGTACTCTTTAGAAGTGTAATATTTAGAGAATGAGTTTGCTGTGCTTTATAGGATTAGAAGAAGACTTCCAGGCGTGGAAGAGGCAGTTTGTGAAGGCCGCGAGGCCGGTGTTGAATGGCCGCACCGTGAAGCGGTGCGTGGGAGAGAAGTGTGGAGGCAAATGTGCGTGTGTCAAGACAAAAGACACAGCAGAGGCTGATGGGAAGACATGCAGCAGCGAGGGAGAGTGCAGCAGCGACAATGAGGTCGGTGCTCCAAATGTGAAAGAACAAATGACACGTGAAAGAACAAAGTTTGATAAGGGTCATATTTTATGAGTACAAAGCGACTAAAATTAATGAAACATAGGAACATTAAAGGAAAGCCAAGTTCTATGGATAGTCAACTTGTTTATTGCAATTAGTGCCACATTTCAAGCAGGTGCTTGACGACAGTGTTAAAGTACTGTCAGAAATAGAAAAAATAAATTAAAAAAAAATTCCCATTGTTATCTACAATTTATGTAGTTAATAGTGTAAGTGCGAAATATCTGTTGAACTAAGTTCGTCTAACTACAGTCTCACTGGTAGGGAGATAGGAAACGGAGAAAAAGGACTTTACTGAGGAGAGATTAATGCAGAAATGAGAAATGCGGTTTTATTCTAAGTCCAAAGCGACTTATTTGGAACAGGCCATGGCTTTATGCAAATTAGTATGTGATGATATTATATTACAAAGGACAATTTTATAATGTCCATATTCAAATTAAACTTAGCTTCATTATAAAAGATAGCTGACATAACAATAATAACTTTAATACTGAAACTATGAAGGATGTCGCTGCCATGCAGTCTCACTATCACTATAAAGTAACAGGTAGGAGGGATCGTCTCAAAAGCAAAACCAAGACGGGTGTTTCTGACTGTAGGGTCGGGCTTAGGGATAAAGATATTAGCTAAGATTAGATAATCAGTAGAGACATATTCAATACACATGAAAAAGCATAAAAGATATTTGAGATGACCCCTTGTGTCTGTGGCCAGCACCTGCATTCCATGCCAAGTGATTTGACGGTCCGTTGTCATACCTGGCTGAGCGACCTAATTGCCATCTATAATCTGATCTATTGTTTTCAGCAGCTGTTCGTATTTTTTCTAAGTTTTGCCCAATTTTACGAGTAAACATGCTTTCCTGGATATCTTATTACGCATCCAACTGAACGCCCAGTTAGGCCGATGTGGGTTATTTCGACATATGCTATTTGCAATTGTGTACATTTTAGGGATACAGAGGTACAGCCTAAAAACATTTTTTTCTATTTCTGACAGTACTTTAGTACCTACACCTAAATATAGAGAGTCGCACTGATTTCAATAAGGAAATTGACTATCCATAGAACTTTGTTTTCCTTCATCTTTACAACTTCTAAAATGCCTCTCAAAGAAATTAATGGTTTTCCTCAAACATCTTTTGAAAACTGGATGGAAGCTCATGTCCAAAGATGTCTGAAAGAGATCCCCTTGTGTTGAAAATAGTTGTGTTGTAATAATCATAATAATAATGAAATATAATCTTTACAAAGGTTTTCTTGCCATGGTGTTTTCATACAAGTAATAAATACAAAATTCAAAACATTGAAAACAAAAGTTACTGACTCAGAAGTAATCCCTAAATTTGAAATTTGACAGTTTTAGTGAAAAAAATTGGGGTTACAGCATTCATTCATTCCAACCATCTATGATTCCTTGCAGCTGGTTGCTTATTGCACAATAACTACTGTTGATAGAAGGGTAAACAGGGATGCCATGGGTGAAAAGTGGATAGTGGGAGAAGACTTGATTTTCACTTTCCACTGTTAATTTACATAGTTTTTCTTAACTTTATATGGCTCTTGAATCATATGTCCTACACAATCCCCTTGCTAGAGACTCTAATGTGTGTGTTCTATGTGTCCTACACAAGCCCCTTGCTAGAGACTCTAATGTGTGTGTTCTATGTGTGTTCTATGTGTCCTACACAAGCCCCTTGCTAGAGACTCTAATGTGTGTGTTCTATGTGTACTTCAGGTTTTGTTTGAAACCAGTAGTGAGGACGAGAAGGTCACTAGTACGAGCAAGTCCACAGCAGGGATCGTTGATCTGGAGGACCTCGGCATGATGATGAAGAACGTCAAGAAGGTAAGCATGACAAGCTGATACATCTTGACTAGGACTGTCTGTTATCACCTTGGACATGGTACCTGTGTCTGTGTTATCACCTGGGACATGGTACCTGTGTCTGTGTTATCACCTTGGACATGGTACCTGTCTGTGTTATCACCTGGGACATGGTACCTGTGTCTATGTTATCACCTGGGACATGGTACCTGTGTCTGTGTTATCACCTTGGACATGGTACCTGTGCCTGTATTATCACCTGGGACATGGTACCTGTGTCTTGTGTTATCACCTGGGACATGGTACTAGTGGCTGTGTTATCACCTTGGACATGGTACCTGTGTCTTGTGTTATCACCGGGGACATGGTACCTGTGCCTGTGATATCACCTGGGACATGGTACCTGTGTCTTGTGTTATCACCTGGGACATGGTACTTGTGCCTGTGTTATCACCTTGGACATGGTACCTGTGTCTTGTGTTATCACCGGGGACATGGTACCTGTGCCTGTGATATCACCTGGGACATGGTACCTGTGTCTTGTGTTATCAGCTGGGACATGGTACTTGTGCCTGTGTTATCACCTTGGACATGGTACCTGTGTCTTTGTTATCAGCTTTGACATATTTGCTATTTCTGTTATGACACATGATCCTGTATACAGGGCTCAGGTCACAGTTCAGTTACAGTGGACATACAGGTGAATGAGGGATGGACTACTCCAAGTTTGTAGCACTTTGTTACTGTCTCACAGTGAAATACATGCAGCATACGTATTGCCCCCTTGAACTGATCTTGTTGAATAATAAACTTCAGTTTGCCCAGCAGTGAATGGGTACCCGGTAGGAGATGGTAATGGTAGCTGTGAACCTACCGGCAGCTTGGGTTGGATAATCCCTTGGAGAATGAAATGAGTTCTACCTGGTTCTAATCATGTACTAGCTCCTAGCTATGCCTGGCTTAACTCAGTCTCTGTTGATGTTGATGATGTTGTTCAGAACAAGCAGGTGGAGGTGGATGAGGATGAGGAGGGGGGTGTGTCGTCCACGGAGCCGAGGGAGATGATCACGCCGCTCCTGCGACAGTCACTGGAGAAGCAGGGCTACAAGCTGATTGGTTCACACTCAGGGGTCAAACTGTGCAGATGGACAAAGGTCAGACTCAGTTCAAGTGTTTTAATTGGCTACATATGATTTGTGCATGAGATGGCTGTGTTGACTGTTGAACTGCTGTTTCCTACAACACATATTTCCTTTCAAAAATACATTTCTGGTGTCCCCAGCCGTGATGTTGCAGGAATATTGCTAAAAGCGGCGCAAAACCAAACTCAGTCAGTCCTTTCAAAATTAGAATGATTAGGGGGTTGAAATGAAAATATGAATATTATAAATACGAATACGATGAAAGTATTGACTTCAATTGTAACACCGTTTATTGTTTGACTGATTTGCATCCCAATGAATTTGTTTCTGGAGATAATTGACATTAGTTGTTCTATGTTGTTGATGTTGTTTTTCCATTTCTGAAATTTATTAACTGACTCAGCTGGAAGAAGATAGGACTGTTCGCAACATTTCAGTTTTGGTCAATATTTGTTAAACTGTCAGGCTGGATCTGGGTTTTCTCTAAGATGCCACACTTAATGCCTCTGTCCAGCATTATATCAGTAAGAGGCTGACCTCATTTGTTTTATAGAAATGCTGTAAAGTTCATAGCAGGAAATCATATTCTAAAATGGCCAATAATGAACCATATTTTGACAGTCAGGGAAGCTGACGGCGACCATACTGATGTGTGTGAAGTGATCTGTTTCCATCAGCATAAACTCCAAAGTTGAAGCAAAGCAACTAAAAATGAAGGATAGAATTCACTATAATGTAACCATGGTAATAGGATGTCTGTTTTCATGAAGTTACTGTTAACTAAGGCCGACATTGTTCTTCTTCAGTCCATGCTGCGGGGCAGGGGAGGCTGCTACAAGCACACGTTCTACGGTATTGAATCTCACCGCTGCATGGAGACCACACCCAGTCTGGCCTGTGCCAACAAGTGTGTCTTCTGCTGGAGGTAAGCATGTGTGTGTCTTGTAAATATATATGTTTGTGTCTGTTGTGTGTGTCTGGTAAATATATGTGTGTGTCTGTTGTGTGTTTCTGCCGTGCATGTGTCTGTGTTCGTCAGTCTGCTGTGTGTATCTTCTGCCAGAGGTAAGCATGTGTGTGTGTGTCTGCTTTGTGCATATTTTGTTTGTGTCTTCTGCTGGAGACTGTATATATATGTGTGTCTGATGTGTGCATTCTGGGAATGTGTGTCAGCTTAGCTGATCGTCTATATCCCTACTTAGCATATCTGTTCTATGAGTCAGTTATGTATCTGTTGTTTACGGGTTCCCTGTTTTGTTACTTGTCGACTTAGTGTGTCTTTTACATTTGTTTCATAGTTCTGTATGTCTTATGTGTCTGCCAAGTGTTTGTCTCTCTGACTGCAGTGTGTGTCTGTTGTATGTCTGTTGTTATGTCTGTGCTGTGTGTCTGTTGTGTGTCTGGTGTTGATATGTCTGTGCTGTGTGTCTGTTGTTTGTCTGTTGTTGATATGTCTGTGCTGTGTGTCTGTTGTTTGTCTGTTGTTGATATGTCTGTGCTGTGTGTCTGTTGTATGTCTGGTGTTACGTCTGTGCTGTGTGTCTGTTGTTTGTCTGTTGTTATGTCTGTGCTGTGTGTCTTGTTGTTTGTCTGTTGTTGATATGTCTGTGCTGTGTGTCTGTTGTATGTCTGTTGATATGTCTGTGCTGTGTGTCTGTTGTATGTCTGTGCTGTGTGTCTGTTGTATGTCTGTTGTTATGTCTGTGCTGTGTGTCTGTTACGTCTGTGCTGTGTGTCTGTTGATATGTCTGTGCTGTGTGTCTGTTGTTGATATGTCTGTGCTGTGTGTCTGTTGTATGTCTGTTGTTGATATGTCTGTGCTGTGTGTCTGTTGTATGTCTGTGCTGTGTGTCTGTTGTATGTCTGTTGTTATGTATGTGTTGCATGTCTGTTGTTGATATGTCTGTGCTGTATGTCTGTTGCTTGTCTGTTGTTGATATGTCTGTTACTTGTCTGCATTATGTTTTCTGGTTTTGTGAGAGGATGTTGCTTCTTGTGTCTCCAGACATCACACCAATCCAGTGGGCACAGAGTGGAAGTGGAAGATGGACGACGCTGATACTGTCTTCCAGGGAGCGCTCAAGAACCATGTCAATCTCATTAAGCAGTTTCGGGGTCAGTCAGCACATTCTCTCGTACCCGCATTGTCATAAACATAGGGCTCTGGTGGTTCAGACACCCAAGGCACAACCCTTGGCATGCCAGAAACCTTGGGTTCAAATCCCAGATCCATGATTATGGAGGACTACCATGCCCTGGACCGGGTCCATATGGTCCAGAACCTCCATTGTCCTTATGCTTCTGCTTTCCTTCAACATCACTTCTGCTTTCCTTCATCATCACTCTGCATCACTTCTGCTTTCCTTCAGTATCACTTCTGCTTTCCTTCATCATCACTTCTGCTTTCCTTCATCATCACTTCTGCTTTCCTTCATCATCCCTTCTGCTTTCCTTCATCATCACTTCTGCTTTCCTTTAACATCACTTCTGCTTTCCTTCATCATCACTTCTGCTTTCCTTCATCATCACTTCTGCTTTCCTTCATCATCACTTCTGCTTTCCTTCATCATCACTTCTGCTTTCCTTCATCATCACTTCTGCTTTCCTTCATCATCACTTCTGCTTTCCTTCATCATCCCTTCTGCTTTCCTTCATCATCCCTTCTGCTTTCCTTCATCATCACTTCTGCTTTCCTTCAACATCACTTCTGCTTTCCTTCATCATCACTTCTGCTTTCCTTTAACATAACTTCTGCTTTCCTTCATCATCACTTCTGCTTTCCTTCATCATCACTTCTGCTTTCCTTTAACATCCCTTCTGCTTTCCTTCATCATCCCTCTGCATCCCTTCTGCTTTTCTTCCTCATCCCTCTGCATCCCTTCTGCTTTCCTTCATCATCACTTCTGCTTTCCTTTAACATCACTTCTGCTTTCCTTCATCATCCCTTCTGCTTTCCTTCAACATCACTTCTGCTTTCCTTCATCATCACTTCTGCTTTCCTTCATCATCCCTTCTGCTTTCCTTCATCATCCCTTCTGCTTTCCTTCATCATCACTTCTGCTTTCCTTCAACATCACTTCTGCTTTCCTTCATCATCACTTCTGCTTTCCTTTAACATAACTTCTGCTTTCCTTCATCATCACTTCTGCTTTCCTTCATCATCACTTCTGCTTTCCTTTAACATCCCTTCTGCTTTCCTTCATCATCCCTCTGCATCCCTTCTGCTTTCCTTCCTCATCCCTCTGCATCCCTTCTGCTTTCCTTCATCATCCCTTCTGCTTTCCTTTAACATCACTTCTGCTTTCCTTCATCATCCCTTCTGCTTTCCTTTAACATCACTTCTGCTTTCCTTCAACATCCCTTCTGCTATCCTTCATCATCCCTCTGCAGCCCTTCTGCTTTCCTTCATCATCCCTTCTGCTTTCCTTCATCATCCCTCTGCATCCCTTCTGCTTTCCTTCATCATCCCTTCTGCTTTCCTTTAACATCACTTCTGCTTTCCTTCTTCATCCCTTCTGCTTTCCTTTAACATCACTTCTGCTTTCCTTCAACATCACTTCTGCTTTCCTTCATCATCACTTCTGCTTTCCTTTAACATCACTTCTGCTTTCCTTCAACATCACTTCTGCTTTCCTTCATCATCACTTCTGCTTTCCTTTAACATCACTTCTGCTTTCCTTCATCATCTCTTCTGCTTTCCTTCAACATCACTTCTGCTTTCCTTCATCATCACTTCTGCTTTCCTTCATCATCACTTCTGCTTTCCTTCATCATCACTTCTGCTTTCCTTTAACATCACTTCTGCTTTCCTTCAACATCACTTCTGCTTTCCTTCATACTTCATACTTTTATACTGCTTACAGAGGAATTAACCCAGACTCACTCAGTGTCATGATGTAGAAATTTTCAAAGAAAGATTCTATTCAAGATTTAATTTCCTCACATATAAAGTTCACAGGGTGAAAGCGCTGTCCACACGAAATGTGGAGTTGCCCCCAAAGCAGCTTCATTTCCTCGCTGGACAGTGAAAGAAGGACACATGGCGCAAAAGTAAAGGTAGGTTTTCCTCGCATTTTCATTATTTTGCAAGTATATCAGGTGTTGCCATTTGGCAGAAGGATCTAGAAAGTTACAGATCTTTATATACTTATCCTATCTCACGCGATGGATACCCACCCGACCTGCCCCACATCACAGATTACTGGAAGCTCCAAGACGAGAATGACATGGCAGAGACCGTCATGTGATCATCTGTGCAATCTGCACGCTTATTGAGATGATTGACAGGTACTGCCATCGGAGTGGGGTCAGAGGTCGGGGGGTCAGAGGCCGAATAACTTTTGATTCAACTTAGCCTACAGCACGTTTCCACACATGGTCGTAGAAGAAGAAGATAGTGCATACCGTGAGATAGGATAAGTATATAAAGATACAATTTACAGTAAAATTTTCAAAATTCAGATCAGCTGGAAAGTAGGTCATTGTCGGAATTGGTTCCTGAGACTCATGTTTCAGTTTGACCGCTGCCACATATGCGGCAAGTTCTACAAGTCTTCATTTGGCCTCAGACTGTATGTTCAAGGGATCCTTCACAACAACTACCGTTTCCATTGCCAAGTCAGTGGAAAAGGATATAAAAAACTGTGGGATTTCAACACTTAATGCTCTAAGATCCATGCAACTACATGGACAGTTACTTCAATGTAAACATTCAAAGCAATGGACAGTTTCAAAACAACTCCATGTAAAATGTACAGTTTGATTTTTCGACGATAACTGAAAAATTACCGATGCATTAAAGCCTAAACTGTGAATGAAGACCTAAAATCACTATATCTAAGAACTGACTGCAAAAAAAGGTGTGTCTGCTCTGGAGGATGTCATATTTTGTGTTGGAACGATCATTTTCTTTTGACACTTAGGAGGGTGCCCTCGCCCAACCCACAATTGTAATAAATATAGAGGGTGTCAAGCTATTACAGAACGATCTGTAACTTTCTAGATCCTTCTGTCAAATGGCAAAACCTGATATACTTGCAAAATAATGAAAACTTACCATAACTCTTGCGCCACGTCTTCTTCTTTCACTGTCCAGCGAGGAAATGGAGTTGCTTTGGGGGCAACTCCACATATCGTGTGGACAACGCTTCCACCCTGTGAAGTTGTTTCTACAAATGTCCACCAGGTGTTCCTGGAGTGCAGCCAGAGAGGTTTGCTGAAGGCCTGGAGCCCAAACACTGCGCGCTGTCACTGGTGGGAGAACCAATCATGTACCCCGAGATCAACAAGTTCGTCAGCCTGCTCCATGGCAGGGGGATTTCCTCCTTCCTCGTCACCAACGCCCAGTTTCCTGATGCAATCAAGTAAGCATGGAAGATATGACAGTCTTACATATACCCATCTCACTGGTTTAGTCACCCGTGAAGGTCCGGGTTAGAATGAACCTTCAGTAACCCATGCTTGTCGTTAGAGGCGACTAACGGGATCGGGTGGTCAGGCTCGCTGGCTTGGTTGACACATGTCATCGGTTCCCAATTGCGCAGATCGATGCTCATGCTGTTGATCACTGGATTGTCTGGTCCAGACTCGATTATTTACAGACCACTGCCATATAGCTGGAATATTACTGAGTGCGGTGTAAAACTCAACTCACTCACTCACTCTCATTGATTTAGTCACTGTGTATCATGAAATGAGTGATGAAATTAATGTTCGTGTTGTACTTTGGCTTATTTAACCTTTGTTTCCTGAAGTTCTGAAATGAAGAAATGTGTAAATGATAGGTTCATGTTGCAATTGATGGATATAGTTCTGTAGTGATAGTGCAGCCCAAGATCCATGGAGACAAAATATTAATAACACAAGATAGTATAAATCATGAAATCACTTGACATTTTGAAGTCTATTTATGACTGACAGATAGTCATCATTATCTACAACAATGTGTAGATCACAATCATCATCAAAACCATCATGAACATTGACTAAATCGTCTTCTGAAAATAAATGTTTTGTACAGACTATGTGAGTTAAGCATTGTGATTGGGGCTTTGTACTATCTATTTGTATGTGTTCCATGTCAAGAGGTAATGATATTGTGACTTGCAATCACTTGCAGGTACTCATTAAAAATCTTTATATAGACACGCTTTAAGAATGTGAAAACTGGAGACCTGTACATGATGCACACAAAATGTCCCTTGAGATAGTGACGAAATCATCTTATCTTGTGACTTGCCAAGTAAATGTTTATACAACAGAACAACTTACTGCCTTATCCTAAATGAACACAAAATGATAGGAATTTTCCGTTACCAGCATCTTTCAATCTCAAATTTTCCGTTACCAGTGTTAAAAACTCTGTGACATTTCTAAAATATTATTTTAGTGAAATTGATGTTAAAATATTGATATATATGACACAATTTTATGTGGAAGACTTGACATAATTCGTTGTGAATATTTTGGTCTTTGAGGGTTGTTAATCTTGATGTTTTACTCATTTTTATTATCAAAATGACTTTCATTGCAAATTATGATAAAAATTATATCCATGGTATTGCTAGATTTATTCAAGTACATTATACAGTTGCAAAATGATATTATGTGTTGATTAGGCAAATTATAGTCTTTAATACCACAAACTAAAGCTATAATTACCATTTTATCTTATTATAACACATATCATTGCAAAGAATCACAAATCACAAAGACCCTGTCATAAGTCATAAAGTTTCTGTAGCAAAAATCACAGACTCCACTCTCACTATAACCAAGTTCTCTACCAGTGCCTAGGGGCGTGGTGGGCAAGCTGTCTAAGGCGCCAGGCTAGTGATCCAGTGAACTTGGAGGTGCCGGGATCGAGCCCACCTGTGACCGGGCGTAAAAACCTTGGAGTCAACTTTGTGTGCAGACTCTTTCAGTGTTGTCACAACCCCTAATGTACAGTACAGAACCCTGAGCACTTTAAAGAACCCACGAATCAGTTGGTAAATGACCAGATGGTGGCCACATGAATACGTGCAAACGCCTAGTTGCGGGTACAGCAACGTGCAGTAAACTTGGACAAAGTACTGTGTATATCTGTCCCAGTCCACCCAGCTGTGAGTGGGTACCTCGTTAGGATGAGAAAGTCACATTAACTCAGTGCGCCTAGAGGCAGCAAGGGCTGTATGATCCCCAGGGAGTTGAGATTGATATGATGTGCCGCTGAGATTGGCATCCATTGATGGAGGGAAAAACAAAGAAGTGCTTTGAGCATGCATGTGGGATGGACTATAGCACTATATAAATACCCATATAATAATAATAACCCTTGTACAGATGGAATATAAGTGTGGCGTTGAGAAAACATAAACCAAACAAGTACAATCCTTTTTACTGTGTGCAGGGACCTGAGTCCAGTGACCCAGCTGTATGTGAGTGTCGACGCCAGCACCAAGGAGAGCCTGAAGAAGATCGACCGCCCGCTGTTCCGGGACTACTGGCAGCGTTTCCTGGACAGTCTGGAGGCCTTGGGCAGCAAGGGGCAGAGAACTGTGTACAGACTGACCCTGGTCAAGGCCTGGAACACAGATGAAGTGAAGAACTATGCCAGCCTCGTCTCCCGGGGAAAGCCAGACTTCATCGAGGTCAAGGTAGGAAATGGTTCAATGATCTTCATGAAGTGTAGCTAGGAGGGGGAGCCTGGTGGGTGAGTTGTTGGGTTGTCACACCAAGATCAAGCATACACTATTACGGATATCACTCAAATCAGGTGAACGGGAAGTACGACATGAACTGGTCACAGTTTTCAGTAAAGTGGTGAGGAATATAGGCTTTCCCCTCGTTTAGGTACTGGGTAGGGATACATAAGTTTTGTGAATCAATATATATCATGATACCCATGTCATGATTCGATACGTATCACGATACCTATTTTCGTGGCATTATTGTGTAAATTTAGTTACATTTTGAACATTAATATTTCATATTATATAATTGTCCATGAAACGATCAACATTATGCTCAGAGATTAACAAGTTCTAATTTCCCATCTGCATGAAAAATAATCATTTATAACTTACCTGGGGTACATATCTCTAATACCCATTCTGACAAAGACCCTTTCAGCGTTAATGTGGACTTAACACGGACTAAGGGTGTTCACACAGTGGTGATGTGGATTTCCACTGTATGCACGTGATGTCTCGTGTTTATGTCTCCATAAATCTTAAAAGTATTGAAACCAATTAAAAAATAAATAAATGCCATCAACATGATCAGTGATGACTCCATAGCCTGCTAAAACAATGTACACAACAGTGGAAGTCAGTGTCATTCTGCACAATGATGCAACACAAACCCCACCTGTTCTATTATCTACCATTCTATTATCTACCAATCAGGAAACGGTACTCTTTAGTGGGTGTGGTTGAATTTTGTGTCAGTTTATGGTTACGGGAAAAATAAAAGATGGCCTGGTGAGCCAATAAAATGTCACAGAATCAAATTCTTCAAATTTATTCTTTTTTCAGGGTGTCACCTACTGTGGCGAGTCCAAAGCTTCCACCCTGACGATGGCCAACGTGCCTTGGCACCAGGAAGTTGTTAGCTTCGTACAACAACTTGCAGATGCGCTGCCAGATTACGAAATAGCTTCCGAACATGAACACTCCAACTGTATACTCATCGCACACACAAAGGTGAGTCACATGACTGATGAAGGATTGGACTGTCTTGCTTCTTTCCTTGATAACCTTTAGTTGATCTATGGCCAAGTATGTCTATGTGATACTCAGTGCCTGTTATAAAGTCAAGAAAGTATGCTTAAGATTATTTCAAGATACCACTACAGTGGAGATTTGTTTTGTTTTCCAGAATTTGAACTTTGATTAGCATGGTATGAATATAGGAATCAATACTTCTTACTGAAGACTTTAGAAAAAGTGAATATGACTTGGCTGATCTTGGGGTTTTTGTGTTATTAAATGTAAGACTGTTGGCTTGGTAGGCAGAAATACTCACAAACATTTTACTTCTCTTACAGTTCAAGATCAAGGATGAATGGTGGACATGGATAGACTATCCTCGGTTTCACCAACTCATATCAGAATACAACCAATCAGGAGGCCAGAAAACATTTACTGCAGAGGACTATATGGCCCCAACTCCACACTGGGCAGTGTTTGGAGCTTCAGAGAGAGGGTTTGACCCAGTAGAGACTCGGTTCCATAGAAAGAAGCAGAAAGACATCAGTGGATGCTAACATTTGCTGTTTGACCTTGAGGATTGATCTTGTTGTTTTACCTTGAGGATTAATCGTGCTGTTTGACCTTGAGGATTGATCTTGCTGTTTTACCTTGAGGATTAATCATGCTGTTTGACCTTTGGGATTGATCTTGCTATTTGTCCTTGAGGATTGATCTTGCTGTTTGACCTTGAGGTCTGATGTTGCTATTTCACATTCAGGACTGCCCAGGATGTGTTCAGGATAAGGGATGGGGGGCTTGGGATGGATGGATATATTGAGTAAACCGACTACTGGAAGGACTTAGGTGTGTATGTGTGTTGCAAATCTGGGCCAATTGTTTGAGGTGTTGCCATTTGCAGTAATACCTAATATATTGTCTTTAGACATATACCTTATTTATCATAATACGCACCCAGCCCATAGACATTTGACAAAAAGGAACTTACTACAAACATACAGAACATGTTTCATTGTCCAAAAACTGAAAAAATGAAAACTCTGTATTACTATGAATTGGATAGAATGTGAGGGAGATAGTGCAAGAGTTAGTGAGTGAGATAGTGCCAGAGTTTGTTTTAACACCTCTTTTGAACAGTATTCCAGTTACGTCAATGCATCTCAGCTGAACTGGAACAAAAACCCAAATGGAGGCATGTTAAGTCATTAACTGAATGAACCAGAAATAGTATTGTGCAGGACAAGCCTGAAACATAATCTGGGAAAACTGGGATACAAAGGATAAAAGAATTTTTGGAATGCCTAAGGGAAATAACTCTATATCATATTTTCATCCAAGTTCACCCCACGGCACTCTGTGTTCTCTTCTTTCTGTAAAAAGAACCATTCAGTCAAACCAGGCTTATCTGGACTTTTTCAGTTCCGTATATATTGACTTGAATGGGTTGCTGAATCGGATATTATTTGTTTGTTTGTTGTTTAATTCCTCACTCGGTAATATTCCAGTTGTAGGACAGTAATCTGTAAATATTCAAGCCTGGACCAGGCAATCCAGTGATTGACGTCATGACAATTGATCTACGCAATGGGGAGAATCACTTGTTAACTGACCTGAGTTACCCCCCTACTCAAATTCTTCGGAGCCATAAAAACCTTTTACTGTGCAGATAATCGGCAATGATTTCATTTCATCTTTGAAAAAGGGATCATCTCAAACCTCACCTGAGAATCTGGAAACAGAAGTATACTGTCCTCATATGGAAACAGCATTTAGGCCAGACCAAGTTTATTTCTTGTTTTACGGAGTTTTGTCCTCAGAAAAAAACTAAAGGCAGGAGGGGAAAAAAAATAAAAATAAAATCACCAGTCAAAGTAATATTCCGTCTAAATATTAAAAGTATTTTGCTTCTGGCAATTTATGAAGTGTATAAGGGGCAAAAAAAAATCTCATTTTTTTTTTCTTTTAAGTTTACATTTTTGGCCAATAAAAACAAGGATTTTATTTTTTGAGAGGAGAAAATTAAAATTTTACTCTTTTTCTTATTCTTGAAAAAATACGACCAGCAGATCCGTAAAACAAGAAATAAAATTGGTCTGGCCTTATGGAAAAAACAATAGCATTTCATGTAGTATTTATTTTGTTTCAGTTGCATATTGTTCTATAAATATCCCATCCAAACATTCACCCTTCATGGGAATATTGCCGGGGATAAACACAAAATCTTCCTAATATTGAGATGAATATGTGTTATGGTCTCTTATGAACATTTCTCATTTTGAAGCGTTACTTATGATAAATGTACTAACTTTAAAACAGGAGCTTTCTGAGAATACTCTCCAAGTGCCACTACTCATTGTCGTAAGAGACAGTGTTGATTATCTGTCATCGTACCGAGCAGTCTCACGGCTGCTCAATTTGGTCGTACCAATAGACTTTAAAACATAGTACTTGCTGTATCCCTGCCTTGTGCTCATCGTTTAGGGACAAAATGAGGCCAGGTTGTCTGGCGTCACTGGTAATGGGGAACATTCCTCAGTTATCTCCCTTTAACGCTTCGCCAATAAATGGCGCCAATCACTACGGTCCTAAGTGTACTTCCGGTATAATCATGGCGTTCGAAGTTTGTAGCACGGTCGATTTCAAATGCGCAGCAATTACTATGCCTGAGACGTTCTGCTGTGGCTCTGGATGCTGCAATAGAGGTGGTTCGACGTGTCCGAGAGGTCAAAACTTGCTGAAGTGGTGGTTGAATGACATTCGAAGTACAAAGAATTTAAAAGTAGGTTTATGTCGATTTAAGTTTAGGCTTGGCTGATAGGCAGGCCAGTATCAGAGTGACAGCTACTGTTGGACTGTAACTACCGCAGCGCTCCAAGCGGGCAAGGGGGCTGAACTCCAGGAATGTTCCCCATGGATTGAAGCAGTTTTCACTAAAAGGACTTAATGGGGATGCTTTCGATATTTGTGATATGATGTAAACTAGTTTGTTTATGACTGAACTGTTTCTGTGTTATTGTTGTATTCTGTTTTATCATGTTTTTTAGAATCATTATTTTGGCAGTTTGCTGATTTGCACAAAACATAATTGAGACTTAAATGCAATTTATACACAATGTAGCTCTATTTTACATTATAATGACGAGTTGTGAAAAGTACACTGTTGAAGCACTTGCTTCAATGATTCAAATACTCTTTGAATTCTGCATTTAGATATTTAGTGAATCCAACATCATTTGTGAGAAAGTACATATTAATTCAGGACCCACTTGTTTAATGTCAAATTCTTTGATTTTTGTTAGAATTATTGAATTATTGTATTACACATTATTTTATGTGCACCATAGCTGCTGATTGTATTGAGATTTATACACCCTGTGTTAAGAACATAAGATAAAGGTGGAATTCTTCACAAGAGTGTATTCATTCAGTGAAGGTGGGACTTAGTTTGTT